TAATTTTCGTATCGTGTCATATATATTCTACGTATCTGTAACTGTCAGCAGCTCAGCACAATTGAAACGAGGCGATGAAGTGCAAACATTTGGAACTTTATTTGGCAGCCGGATAAAGAGTAGATGTGAAGCCCGCCAAGATGTGCCAACATTTTAGCGCCATCAGCCGTCGCTCGGGCTTGGCTGCTCTTGTTTATCTGCTGTTGGTGAAGCTTATTATCTTCAGCAGCCAGGCGGACCATGAAACCCCATCAGAAGCAGCCACTGGAGAAGCCTTTTCCATAACCAGACACGCCTCCTGCGGCTGCCCACAACTTTCAATGAAGTTTGCCGTCGTCTTGGCATGAAAATTTCATCTCAACTTGCTTTGATAATTTATTTATTTTTATTTTCCCACAGTTGTGCGATTTGATACTCTTTTAAAGGCCGCTATAATTCCATCATCAAATGTGAAACGGTTGGGCAAATATTTTAGCTACTATTGTTAATATTTGAATGATTCAATTCATAATAGCTTAGATATGAATATTAGAGATATTAATACTATTGACGTGTTATCATCATTTGAATTATATATTAGAATATGCGATAAGCATAGCAACATGTGTTAGGCTGATACTCTTAATTGTAGACTCCAGAGCTATAGGTATAATCTGTACATATGGTATGTAGTTAGGTTACTTAGAGCTGAAAGTCGACTGCGCGCTGTAGTCTGCTTTCTTATTATCTAATATATAAATATACGAATTATATTGATATATGAGTTATGTATATATAAGCGGTTTACAACTCCTTTTATAGTACATGTTGGCAAGGGCATTCAGCAATCGGCTTGATATATTATTGTATGGCTTTTGCGTTCTGTTATGCTTGCGGGCTACTTCTAATCAATTCCAAATCATTAAGCACACGCATTAGAACTGTCAGTGGACTAGGGTGTGCTGGTATGTGTGAGTGTGCTTGTAAGTATGTGGCAATTTCGCTTGAGTTAAAGCTGTGAGGCTTTAAGCACGCTGCTGGCCATAAATCAGAGGCGTGACGGCGCACAAAAGGCAGCTGACAAAGCTCAAAAGCTGTACGGGTAATTATGACTAATTAACGTGCCGAATAGCACGGCCTACTTTGCCCATAGCCCCACGGCCACCCCCCACCAGAGTCGGCGGCTGCCCATCGATGCGAGGATCTGCGCCTTTTGAGTTGCCTTAAAAAAGGAAAGAAATCATAAAACTTGCCCCCGGCTAACATAAAAGGCTTTTGTCCAGCCGTAAAAATGTCGTCACTCGCAGTCCCAATGCCATTTTGATATGCCCCACACGCGTCGTAGCTGATAAACTGAACAGCATCGGGCATTTATGGTCGCACATGGTCACTGGGACGCAATACGTAATGTAAGTGGCCTAAATTGTGGTCAAGAGGCAGGGCCAACCCAAAACTTTCTGGGAGTGTGAGGCGAGTGTTTGCATGAGGCTGATCAATGCGCCGCAGTTGGAGCAATCTTTCGATATTTTATGGGCGTGTGCAAACTACGACTGTTCACGTCTGTGGCTCGCATAAAATGTAATTTCAGTTAGCTGAAAAATTATAAACTGCTCCACGACATTTCTCCACTCTCCACTTTGTTGCTGGTAATGCGACGCTCCTTTTTCGCGGCTGCTTCCTTAAGTATATTTACTGGCACGGACTGTGCTTCTGCGTCCTTAACATTATTTACTCTCTGGCTGGCCCGAATACGCAATTCTGCACGCTCCTTTTGTGCACCGCAAATGTTCATAAATAAGTTGATTAGTTTTTTATGTGGTTAGAGCTGAGAGACATTTTGAGTGGCAGTCAGAACGACAGGGCGGGGCGAGGCAGGGCGGGGCAGGTCAGGACAGGACAACGTCGTGCAGGACGCCACAAGATGCAGCAGCAGGACTGTAATTGAAAACGTTACTTAATGCGTGATTATGATATTCCCTGAAGCCTGCAAATAGCATGATAGGGCGAAAAGCAACACTCCATTCTTTATTACGCAACCTCACTTTATTGTGTGCGTATGTGTGCTGTGTGTATTGTGTATATTGTGTATATCGTGTTTACGTATGTGTGAATGGAAAGTGCGTGTTAAGCGGCTTTTGTGCTGATCAGAATGTCGGCCAAATGTTTGTACGCAGAGATGGCCGTCAACAGATTACAGATTTCAAATCTCACAGTGATTTTTAAAAAGCAGAAAACTTCAGCCAACTTATATTAAAGTCAAATATTGAATATGACAATATCAAAATATTTTCTCATAAATTATTATTTATCATAAATTATTTTCTGGTTTGCTGCTGCTAAGTAGAGACTTTGATTATAGTATTGGCAACAAGTATTGGGCTAAAAGGTGTAAGCATAGACTTGTTTGCTGGTGTAGGAAATTATTCGAAGGCATGAAAGCTCAGCTATTTATCTCTAAATTAAATAGTGCCAACTGGCAAGAGTGATGGGTATATCAAGTTAAATCTCTTGAGCCATAGCATAGAGTGGCAGTGTTGTTTGCAGTGGAATGCAAGTATAGTGTGTCATACCGCTGATACGTCTCAGAAAGGTGGTCTGTGTGGTATGTAGTACGTATATTGTTTAGACTAAATGTACATATCTCAAAATGATAATGAAAAGCATCACTATTGCAATTATTTATTTGCCTAGAGTCCGATTTCAAATGAAATCAATCAACTATAGAAAAGTTTATTCTCCCAAACTTTGGACTCCACATGCTTAGCAACCAATAGAAACTCTGTACAAGGGTTATAGATAAAATTATTATAATAATAAATATGTTGAATTGAAAGGAAAAAGCATTGAATCATTTATGCAGATCTCTGTTAAGTGAAGTTAACAAAACAGTAGCTATTAATTATAAGAGAGTAAATAAAGCAGCTATTTAGATAGATAGATGACAGTATAGAGAAAATATCTCTTTAAGGAGTGTTCTCTGTTAGATCAGCTGGTATTCTGTGCCATTGCAAATTTTCTAATATGTAAATGACATGGATTATGGATGAACGTATTGAGTATTTAAAATTGTGCAATCATTTAATGTGGAATTACGGAAATTTTAGCAAGTTGCAAATGCTTTTCGCATAATTTGCTGTGTGCGCTGAGGCGTGCAGCGGCATCAACAGCGCCTCATCCGCATGTAGCTCTGGTGCTTCGCCCGGGCTATTTGTATGCTGTCATGTGTGCGGCGCATGTCTCCTTGCTGCCCCTTGCACTCGGGTTGACACGTAGAGGAGTTGGAGGGTTGAGGGGTTGCGCCTGTCTGTATGCTGAGCCAAAAGCCAGCCCTACCACGCACTTGCACTCTCACTTTAATTTGTGTGCCAGGCAGCGACCCACGAGCCCCCAAACAATGTCACTTGCCTTTGTGAACTCACGTGTTACATGCAAATGTGCTTCCTGCCCAGAACAGAAGACTTACAACTCACAACTTGACGTTGCTGTTGCTGCTGCTGCTGCTGCTCCTGCTGCTGTTGATACTGCTCCTGCTGCTGCGTTTCTTTGTCTTTGAAAACACAGCCCCACATGTTGTTGGCGGAGGTTAAGAGTGAGCGCAAATAAATATTGTAATGATGTATATGATTTCTTTTATGCCAGACTACACAAAAGATGTTCCTGCCTATCAGTTTATTGAAATCCCTTTAGCCAAGCGACAACTCGGCTCAAGGGCCGACCCACTTGAGCGCAATTCGAAAAAAAAAGCAAAATGGGAAATGCAACATTTTTATGGCATTCATTTTAATGAAGTAACAGCCAGGCAAAAAGTCATTAAAAACATGCAAAATATATTCACAGTGGCATGCAAAAATCAATAAACAATCAACAATGTATAAAAAAGGTAAAACGGTGGGCTGAGAGGCTAAGAGCTAGCCTCAAGCCTCAAGGCTGCAATTATGTGTATGTGCGGTTCTCAAAGTTGTCAAAGGAGTTCTGGCTAGGCCAGAAAAAATATATAAATACATGTGAAACGCGTTGACGATTGCATTTTTGAAGTGCACAGCACAGCCGTACGAAGGGGCACTGCGCAGGGTGGCTGTGGCATTCGCTTACAATTTTAAAGAGTCTGCGACACACGCAAACATCCACAGCGACACACACACACACACACATGGTCATTGCGTTGACGTGCGAGGAAGTGTGTATACCAATTAAATGCAACGGACAACGCCCCAAAAAAGTATGCTACAAAAATATATGTGTGGCAACTGCTGTCAATGACAGCGCAAATAGTGCAACAAAGCGCTTGAAAAACACGCAAAAATAAAAATCGATGATGCTGCGACGCACACACACGCACACGCACACACACAGCTACTATATGCATATTACACATGCACTATATATGCACATATATCTATGCAGCACTGTACATATACATATACAGCTATATAGCTAGGCATATAGGCTGCCTGGTCAGCTGCTGCTCGCCGTGTAGTATGGGCATTTGTCATAACGGCAGCAATAATCAGAGCGACAAGCCTACAGCAACAACAATAGCATCCCTGGTAGACGAGGTGTAGGCGTAACAACAACAGCAACAGCAACATTGCATAAACACGGGAAGCGGAAACGGACTGTGCTGGCCCATCCATGTTGACGTCAGTCATACAGCGTGCAAATGTTGACCTACATACAAAACGCCATGCAAACAGGCGCATAAATGCTACGCCAAACAACAACAAAATCAACAACAACAACAGCAACAACAGCAACAAGAGCTCTGCGTGCAGATAAGTCCTTTTTGTGCAGATGCGAACGCATTGTTAGAAATATGACGGACACTGCCATAGCCATCCCTATGGCCATTGCCGTTGTGCAAGCTCGCCCCGTTATTGTTTTTAATACTAACCAGCATCGTAATTGTTATGTAGATTTATCAATTTGGAATGGACATGCTGCAGGCAGCAGACAACAGCTCTGGCGTCCAGTGGCCAGCAGCAGATGTGCACTTAAAACGAATCACTCCAAAATGCCAAGTATTAATGCTGAATAAACGTTTTCGATATATTTTAAAGTCGCCTTTCATTCAGATTTTCAATCAATTCATCCATAATAGCTACACATAGATATGCACTTGCTAACGACAATATTATATAATATATACATACATATATTAATACAAAATAACAAATATTTCAATGGTATTTTCGTTTCTTCACAAAATTCTCCTCACTGGATAGGTGGATAATGTTATCAGCACACAAATAGACAAAACATATTCATAAAATTTCTTATATTCAATCATCTAAGCTGAAGGGATTATTGATTCGACGGTCTGAAATGGTTTAAAGTCTTCTATTACAAATGATTTATGCTCTTTTCCAATTTTTCTTCTTCTTATTTTATATATTTTTAACTTCATCATTACGAATATTACGTTTAACACAAATGAATAAATTATCTGCATTCCAGCTTCTGTCAGACGAAAACATATTTGGTCCAAACTAATTTTTAATATTTATAATAACTTGGATTAACTTTATTATAAATTCGGTATGACGCATGCATTTTCCATTCTCTCATTTTTTGTCCACTGACAGTGACTACAATAATTAATGCATTGATCGCATTAATGGAGAATCAAACAGATAAATGTATAAAGATATTAATTACTTATGTCGCACGCACTTTGTACTTGCAGAGAATTTCCATAATGAATGGAGACGGACTCTCAGCCATTTTAATTTGAACGAATGCCTGATAATGTCCAGTTGGATGGAAAGTCGGTGAGATGAGGGCGTTGGTTAAATTCTTGAGGTAGTATACCTTTGGGGCAATCGGGCACTTAAAGAAGGAGTTGTTCACCACTAAGGTATTGTAGCTCTCGACAAACATCTTCTTATAAAACTGATTTTCTAAAAACTGGCAGCCATCTACTCTTTTTAGCTCGTACAATACCCGTTGAGATTTCACAGAGCGCAGCTCAATGTTCATGCTGAACGATGCAGCCTTCTTTGCCACACGAAACGTATAGAGCTCATCTTGATTGGGCACTTTTTTGAAATATTCCACATAATCGTGATCGCAATTTATCTCCACTGATTCTATAACAGGTATCCCGTTCATATGTACCTATGCGAAAATACATAAATACATCCGGGATACATCGAATATTTTGTTGCGAAGATAGGCTTACTTGCTCAACTGAAAGCAGAACAAATATCCACAAAAAATACATCCGGTGCAGAGTCATTGTAAACTTCAAACTGGCAAACGCTAAGGGACTGAACAATTTTTATACCGATCTTCACTAGATGATTGACTTACATATCCATCGGGCCATCAAGATAAAATGTTATGGATCATTAAATTGTATAAACGGGACTGGGAATTTGTGTACCAGCTTGGGTTAATCATTGTCAAATTAACATTTATATTCGTTCATGAAGTGAAGCATATTAAGCTTGTGTCATGTCCATCAGTCACAGTAGAGCCTCTGTCACCAGAGTGTGGCAAAAATTAGAAAAGAAATGACAACCATTTTTTAATATTTATTTTTTGTTTGATGTCATTTGAAATATAAATTTGGACTATTTTTTAGGAGGCCATATAAAATTAAATAAAACAATGAAATCTTGGCATTTTGTACTTTGTTCGCTGATGCTTGCAATGCTCCACTGACTTTGACTACGAAAATTAATGCATTAATGATATTTTTGGAAAATCAAATAAACAGACATTGGCTATATATGGATTTAATTAAGTAACTTGTACTTAGTTACAAAACATATTAAATCCCTATTTGTAGTATACATTGTACTTCCAAATGATTTCCATTACGAATGGCGCTGAAGTTTCTGGCATTTGCATCCGTGTGCTAAGTTGATAATATCCGGTTGGATGAAAAGTCGGCGAGACCAAGGCATTGCTTATGTTCTTGAGGTAGTAAACCTTGGGGGCTATCGGGCACTTAAAAAATGAGTTGTTCACAATTAAGGTTGCGTAGCTTTCGGTCAACATCTTCTTCATAAACTGATTTTTCGAAAACTGGCAGCCATCTATTTTTTTCAGCTGGTACAATATGCGTTGCGATTTCACAGCGCGCATCACAATGCTGATGGTGAACGACGTAGCCGGCTTTACTAGGCGAAAAGCATAGAGCCCATTTTGGTTAGGTACTTTCTTGAAATATTCCACAAAGGCGTGATCGCAAGTTGTCTCTACTGATTGCACAACAACCAGTCGTTTCATATATATCTATGTAAAAATATTGTATTGTTAAGATATGTATATAGAGAATCGAATGCCGAAAGGCATAATTTCAATCTTACTTGCTCGACTGAAAGCACTAAAAAGATCCACAAAAAATTGACTCGATGTGGAGACATTGTAAACTTCAAATGGGCGTTTATTAGGTGACTGATCATTTTTTGTAAGCCCACATTTTTTCCGAACATCATTTATTGCTTTAGATGACTGTCTAACATATTAATAAAGCCATAAAAAGCTAATGTTATGGATCATTAACTTGGAATGGAACCGTGATATGCACAATGGACTTGATATTGGTGTCTTAATTACTTAATTTTCGATAATTATATCTGAAAAATATGGGATATATGTGTATTTTCGATTATAGAAGTTTTCCCTTGATTTAAATGCTTTCATAGTTCTGAGTGCGTACTAGCTTTGTATGTTTGTATTGAAGGAAACTAAAGTTGTTAATGTGTGTTGGGTTAATGGCATCTCCGAGTCAGAAGCTGACAATGAGAACCATCTTTTATTGGTTGATTATTATTCTCAATATTCATTTTATGGCTAGCACAAATTACTTTGAGAGAATCTCCATAATCAACGGCTTGCGATTCTCCGGCATTTCAATGCGTATGCTGAGTTGATAGTAGCCGAGCGGGTGAAAGTGGGGCATAATCTTGGGGTTGATCAAATTCCTCAGGAAGTAAACGTTCGCACGGATCGGGCACTCAAATAATGTGTTGTTCACAACTAAGGCTCGATAGATCTGTGACAGAAACTTGCTCATCATCTGATTTTTCAAGAATTGACAGCCGTTCAATTTGTCAATTTTGTACATTATCCGTTGGACTTTACGGTACTCAGCGTAATACTGATTGTGAAGGACGTTGCCGGTTTGACTACACGGAAGGTGTACAGGAATCTTTCATTGGGCACTTTTCTAAAATATTCCACAAAGTCGTGATCACAATTGGTTTGCACTGATTGTATGACAAATTTTCGATGGACTGCCACTGGCACCTGAAGATAAATGAAATTCATTACGAAAGAAAATACTGGCGCTTCTTTGGAAAGTTTACCACGTTTTTGATATCTACAGCAAGGGTCACGCCTATCGATAGAAAAAACACTAGAATCGGACACATCGTAAGCAAAGTGCTAACTGCAGAACTTGCCGTGATAATTAAAACTATTTACCCAAATATTTGCCAGGCCTCAATTGCTGGCATGAACGAACTTGTAAATAACTAAACTGTTTATAGAGTCATAAAGAGATAAATGTCGTTATGGACCATTAGCTACCGTCCAAAGTGAATGTCATTTCATTTGGTTGTGTGAGTAACAAATATTTGTATGCCTACAGACTGTCGAAAATAACCCCGAATAAAATTATATAATTGTAAAGCTTCAAATGAAAAAGCTATTATTAATAAATGAATGTGATTAGTCTTTTTATAGACTAAAAAGTGTGCTGCTAAAATAAGATAATAATCGGGAACTAGAACTGAAAGTGTTATTCGAATAAATTGCGCAACTAAGGGTTAAAGTGTTATTCCGATGCAACTCGAAAAGTTTCAAATCGATGGGTTTAATTTATTTTTGGACCCCTTGCCTTTGCCAAAATTTGTTAAAGTGAACTCTTTGAGTTTGACTTTGTCCCGTCGATAGGTCGCTCTGTTTTTGGCAGCGGCAAGTGGCCAAAGTGCCAAGGCAATGTAGTGCCACCTGACAATGTCTAATGATGATGGAGTAAGTGCAGCAGCCACTACATAATCATTGCCATAACGCAACGGCAGCAGACGCAGTGCCCACTTTGTGGCTGCTGTTGTTGTGGGTGCTGTTGGTGGTGCCGTTGGCTAGATGGAGACACGCAGCCATGCAGTCAGGCAGTCAACCGACCAACCTGGCAACCAACCTCCTGGCTAACAAACAATCTAACATTCCAAGGGAAGCTCGGTGCTGCACTGCTAAGTGTGGAGGCGTCGTAGCGTCAGAGCGTGGGGGCGCTGTGGTGTGGGGTGTGGCATTGGCGGTTGTTATCGCCCACAGGGAAAACTCAATGAGTCAATGACTTTCTGGTGTCGCTCGCTGATGCGCGTCGCGGCTTCGTTGTCATTAGTAACAACACCGACACGCACTCTCTGACAGGTACACACGAGCACACACACACACACATACACGTCTACGGACACATGTTCAGCTACCTATACACGCTCAGTTGTTGGCTAGGGCTGCTGTATGTTCTGGGTTGGGCGCTGTGGGAAATGCGAGCGGGTCCGACAATAAATTTGGCAAACAAACACGTTTCGGCTTATGTTTTATTGGTGTTCGTGTTGCTGTTGCTGTTGCTGATGCTGTTGTTGTCGTTGCGGCTGATGTTTTGTTGCTGTCCTTGGCGTACCTAATGTGTGTCAACGGCAGGCGATGCTGTTGTGTTGCGGCTTTCGTTTTTTTTTTTTGGTTTCTGCTCTGTTTTTGTTCTTATTTCTGATTGTGATGCGGACTCTTATTGTGAAGCTTTTTACGCATTCACGCGCCCAAATTGGCCAGCAGAATGTGTTGAATACACAAACAAATTATGTGCCTTGCTTACATGCTTTTAGGCTAAGTAATTATCATTTTTTGGCAGCCAGCAACACTTGGCAGACATTTGCTATGGTTTTTTCTGCTGTTCCTCGCAACACGGCATTTCCCTCGATGCTCATTAGCCGCATCCTGTGCTAAATCAGGCCATATTTATGCGCAGGCCGTGGCGCTTTAAGTGTTAAATTGTTTGCTCGTAATGCCAAGTAAGTTGTACAAACAAATTAAAGGAATATAAAAATGCCCGCCCAGGCTCCGATTTGGGCGTTACTCTGATTTCATCAAATGCTATTGTGTTATATTTTATTTAAACTTTAAAATTTGTTTATTTTAAATTTATTTTATTGTATTGTATGCTATTTTATTTTATTTATTTATTTTTATTTTACTATAATTTTTTTTTTTAAATTAATTTAATTACATTTTACTGTATGTTATTTAATTTAATTTTATTTTATTTTATATTTATTTATATTTACTGTATATTCTTTTATTTTACTTAATTAATAGGAGTGTTGCACCAAGTGGTATTCCATACACGCCAATGATTATGTGAGATCAAACATGAGAGGTTTCATACAGTAATTACAGAATTTCCATTGCACTGGCAATGGGTTCGGTGTTTGACCCATACTTCTAGCAGCTTGGTTGACCACCCAGTGTAAACACAGCTGTTTTCAGGCCCCCACTCATGGTTGCCTTCTGTCCGAGTCACATTCGTGCCTAACCACAGACAACAAGGTGGAGGGGCGCATGCGCCGAGCCGCCGAGCCGCCGAGTTTGCAGTGCTGCCAACTGCACTGCAAAGCGGAAGCACCATGGCAGAGGCCGGAGCAGTCAAGTCAGTTGCTTTTCGAGGCTCGTAGGATACGAACGGCTCTGGCGGTTCATAAAATGCGGAAACTGAGTGCTGTAAGTGAGTGCTGTGCTGGGCTTTGAGTGCGAGCGGTTCGAGTACGAGTGCGAGTGCGAGTGCGAGTGCGAGTGCGAGTACGAGTTCAAGTGGCAGTCGGCTCGCATGTGTGGTGAATTCGCATAGTCGAAGAGCGCGCCAAAGAGAGTACAGAATCCGAGAATCCGAGAAACGCAACGAAGAGCTTGACTCGCTGTCTGGTGGAAAAGGCATCGCAGTCAATGCGAATCTTTGCACGCGTGCAGTTGCCTGGACAGGATTGTTGAGTGAGGTTGTGAGTGCGCGCTTGTGCTCGGAGTGTGCCGGCTATTAAAGTGAATCGCCAGCATCATAAAATCAACAAATCATCAGCATTAAGTTTTAGCTATCACTACACAACATTGGTGCCAAACGACAGGGAGAAAGTGTCTAAAATGTAAATCCGTGCGACAGTGCAACTCAATTCGAATCAAAATTGCGTGAGCCGAAAATCAATCTTTGCCAATTCAACAATACGAAAACCAAAGCAAACCAAACCAAACCAAAACAAAACAAAAACAAAGGAAAACAAAAAGAAACGAATAGTGAAACTAAAATCAAAACAGGAAACCGAAGAGGAAAGCATGTGGATTAGTAGCCGCCTTTTTGTGATTTGTTTGCTGCTCAGGTTTGGTAGGTGCAACTCGTCTTGCTTTTTCCCTTCCCCCTCTTTCCCTACCTCTTAGCCCATGCCACCAGGATTACTTTGCCGCACCGCTCGGAATGCGCCGCAAAGTATGCTTAGATTTGTGCTTGAGTGTGTGCTTCGAATACCTATCAACAGCTGTCGGCAAATATTTTCCTTTTACGCGCTCTAAAACTTATTATTCTAAAAGGCGCTCAGGCTCATAAGGCTTTTCAGGGATTTAACGGGTTTTGAGCAAACGGCAAAAGCGTGCAGACTTTTAAGCTCTTGCGAAATCTAATATGCCTTCAAAATATATCAAATTCAAGTAATGCTTAATTAAACCTCATATTCCAGCCATATTTTATTCGGTTAAACATATATAGTGCAGTTTCAAGACTTTCCCAAATTTGTGTGCTGAGGCTTGAGCCTCGCAGCTACATAAATCATAAGAGCTCGCATGAATACAAACGTTCTCAGTCAGAGCGAGAGGGAGAGAGGTGTTAGCATAATTTATGAGCCAGCATTTACTCTACGAACTAAGTGCAAATGATTTGGTCCGTTTATGTTACGTCAAGCCCATAAAATGACGGTCATAACAACAAAAACTAAACCAGCCAGCGCGCAAACTGCGTATACATAATATGAAATTGCCTTATGATAAAAACCCAGGCGTCAATTTATGCCAAGCAACTTGAGTGTGTGTGCTTGTGTGTGTGTGTGTGTGTGGCAGTGTGCCAGTGTGTGTGTGTGTGAGTGGACTAATGAAATGTGTCAGAAGCAGAGCACTCGATCGAACCACAGTAGACCCATCAAATCGTTCACACACACACACACACACACACACAGAGAGTCTCGCACACACACATAAAGAAGCTTTTGGAAATTTGATATTTTCCAATTTTCATTGCCTGACTGTTTTCATATTTATGATGGCTTCGGCAATAGCAACTGACATACCTATAGATATACCATGAATACATATACATAGTATGATTTCGCACTCTAGCCGAGCTGCGGGCAAATGAAAAATATGCAAATGAAATTGTTGCTCAATATCTGAAGGGCATACTTCTTTTGGTTTTCGTTGTTATTTCATTTTCATGCGGATAAAAATAAACATAAAATCTAATGCGCTACACAAATTCAGCACGGAAAACAACAGGAATTCGATTATGCTGAAAAGTCTATAGGGCCTAAACCAAGCGAACTTAACCCTCAAAGTGGTTTTCCCGCAAAACTGTTACAACAAAATTATGGAATATTTATATTGGCTCCACACGGGCTGTTGCTCCCCCAGATTGATTGTATTTTAAATCCTTTGTGACAAACGCTTTAATTTCGTGTGCGATTAATGATGCACGCTTCGGCTTCCTGTCAAATGGTCTCCGGGGCAGAGGTCAGGCAGAGCGCAGCTGGCTCGAAATGGAAAAGAAAAATGGTTCTAGCCTCAACTCATCTCATCCACTATGCACTGCTGTCGCTTTTTCTGTTCAAGTTTCAAAATATTATTTGTTTAAAAATTAATTTTATTTGCTGCTGAAATTTTATTCAATTTTTAACGGCGTCAGAAACGATGTCAACCTTTTTAGGAGTTGCGAATTTGCTTTGGTTTTTCTCGAAAATCAATTTGCGCTATAAACATTTAAAATTTCTCATTCAGCTGCCTTTTTGTTGCGGATTTTCTTCTTTGCTTTACTTTGCTTTTGCTTTTGGTTCGTGTGCAAGTCGGCTTTGGAGGGGCTTAGGGCCATCTCTTTGGTTTCCCGTTGCTCCAACATAAAAAGTTATTTACAATTATTATTACTGCTGCCGTTGTTATTATTGTGCCCGTCTGAATGCGCGTTGGTCTGTAAACGTTTTAAGTTCTTTCAACTTTAGGCCAGAAACAGTATTGAATTGGAAATACGCTTCGCTATGAGTGTTTGTGTGTGTGTGTGTGTCTGTGTGTTGACGTTTCCTTTGCTTGTTTTAGCGCATAAAAATTGAATTTCCTGTTTTCTGGGTTGATTACGCAGAGGGCACAGCCCATCATTTCCGGTGCCGGTACCAACTGGCAGCACTTCGGCTGAGTATTTCCGCAGCTGGGAAAGTCCTTTAAAGTGCTCGCCGCTGAGCTTTAATGCGCATTGGAAACTGTTAGTTTCGAGGCTGTGTGGGAATGCCTCAGGCTGTTTTACGGCTAGCCCCTTACACAGTACGTCTGCAGTATCATAAACAACAGAACTACACAGCTTGCACACACGCAAGGCCTCAAAGGAAAAAGAAATAATTTCAAAAAGTGCCAAAAGGGCATAATCCAGAGAAGAAACACAAAGTCTGAGTTGCCTCGCAAAGGCAAAACCAACCCCTCGAGCCGCCAAGTAGATGCGAAATACACTCATATTCCAAATGAAAGTCAGTGGAAAAGCGAGACGAAAAAGCCGAGCGGAAATTCGAAGAAAAGCTTTGAAGGATGCAAAAGCCAACCGCGGCTGCAGTTGCAGTTGCAGCTCTAAGAGTGCAACGAACTGTCAGCCAGTTTGACAAGTTGTAAAATAGCAGCAGCTTTAACAGCATTATAAATAAATTGAGATAGCTCTGCGGATAGCGCGACTTTGGACATCCGAATATAGTTATATATATACAAAACTTATCAAGATATATGAGCATAGTAAAAGAAATAATATAAAAGACAGTAGAAAATTTATGTGCATTCGATATTTTTAGAGCGAGTTTTGTTGTTCTATGGGAACTGAATCGCATCTCATTCTTTGTGTGTCACACTCAATCCCTGCTGTCTTAAATTGTTTCATGGCTTTGGCACTAAATCCGCACAGCCCAAATCGAAAATATTCGTGTGAATGTCGAATTCGTCAGTTAAGCCGCAGCAATAAGCCCAAGTTGAGGTGCTAAAGGAATAAGACGAAGCTGAAGCCGAAGCTGGGGAAGAGGAAGACATACTTGGCTTGGTACACGGCATACAATGACAGGAAGAGCAGAGGCAGAAGAGACGCACAGTAGCGCTCGCGGCGTAGACCCTTTGTTTTCACAGGAAAGAATAAAAAACCTACAAGTGGATGTATACACACACACTCTCGCACACACACATACACATCAGCGAACCCGGACACCCATGTGTGTGCGCTTTGCGGCACATGCTCGTAAAATATACCCTTTCTGGCCGAAACAAAAAATATACCGAGTGCCAGGCGTACTCAAGACATACTTGCAATAATTTTATGGCCTGGCAGAGGCCTCGTCCTGCTCGCTCCCGAACAGCGGGAGCCATGAAATCAGCGGGGAAAAGCGAAATGAAACGAAACGAACATGGGCCGGAGAGACGAGCAGAAAAATGAAACCAGAAAGAAGTAACATAAAAATCCATGATGCCAAGCATAAAACAAAAAGCGACTGGCCAGGCACAGCAACAACAACGACAACAACGACAACAACAACAGCAACAACAGCAACGGCAACAAAAAAATATACAAAAGCAAAAAGAACAAAAACAACTCTAATTGCAGACACAATGACTTGGCGGTGCGGAACAGCCAAGCGAGCGGGGCAGGAGGCAGGGAGAGCGGTAAGAGGCTCCTAGTGCCAGACTTGAACGAGTTGCAAGGATTTGCAGAGCGCCGCAGGGAGAGCCGCTTGGGTGGCACTGACAGCCGAGGCGTATTCATGTGGAATTTGAAGCGAAATGTCAATTTGAGAAATACACACACAGCTACATAGATATACAACACGAAATATATAACTGTGAGTGTGTATGTACATGTGTGTGTGTGCATGCATGAAAGAGAGAGCAAAGCATGGCGAAGCCATAGACAAAAATGTTATTCTTATTTAAGATAAGGCGCAATCTGTTTGCCAAGCGGCATGCAGGCGGACAAGTACATTGGAACGGACTTCAATGGAAAGCTTGCCTGATGAAATACAGAAAGATTTCGAGCACCCCTCCTCCTTAAAGGAGTACAGTTGAATGCAGGCTAATGGAACTTTGAGAAATGCGAATTGCGCTATGAATATTTGAATGGCTCTACATTTAATTGCCTTTTAAGATATTTGCGTTTTATATTTGCTTAAATTAGTCTAAAATATCCAAGTGCCCAATTTGGAATGGGAACATTTAGGGCATATTTTATTTAAAATCTACTTCAATTTAAATATACACATACATATATGTGTAATATATAACTATATTATTTGTGTTTTTGTTTTGTTACAGATGCCACGATTAGCGAGCCCTTTGAAACACATTTGCGTGGCCCCGGCTTTGTCATGGAGCCTCCGGGTCGCGTTGAGTTCTCCAATTCGTCCGGCGGCTGGCTGGATTGCTCCGCCTCGGGCAGTCCCCAGCCAACGATCGATTGGGTGCACGCGGATGGCACGGCGGTTACGGAAATTCATGGCGTGCGTCGTGTGCTCCGCAACGGCACGCTCGTGCTAATGCCCTTTGCTGCGGCTGCCTATCATCAAGATATACATAATACGATATATCGCTGCATCGCCAGCAACTCTGTGGGCCGCATTGTGTCGCGCGACGTGCAAGTGCGGGCGGGTAAGTTTCGAGTCAGCCAAAATGCATCATATATATGTACATATACATATGTAGACTCACACATACATACGTACGTATGTGCGTGTGTGTTTGAGGCTTGCATATTTTTTGTATTTTCACATTTTTCGTACTTTTGCGGCAGTCGTGGCCCAGGCCTACAAAGTGGATGTGGAGGTATTATCCGCGTCGCGCGGCTGCACAGCCATTTTGCGTTGTGTGGTGCCCACGTTTGTCAAGGAATTGGTACGAGTGGTCTCGTGGGTTCATGAACCCGCTATCTACATCTATCCCTCGCTGCAAGGCGGTAAGTAACGCGGGTGTTCATACTTGTGCAACGTCTATCTGTCTATCTGTCTAACTGTCTGCGTGTCTGCTGCTGACGTGGCTTCAACTGAAGTCGCAGGCTCGGCCTCGGTGCTCGCCTGCATCCTTGTCCCTGTAGCGGCTTACCAAGCCAACAAAGTGCATTGTTTGTTTTCAGTATTTGCCTGCTTAACTACCATCGCTTTGCCTATATACCATAACGCGTATGCATGTGTGTGTGTGTTTGTGCTCGTGTTCGTGTGGGTGTATTTAAGTATGCGTGTGTGTGCTATGCCCCATGCTTTGATGCATAATTAACATTGTCCTTTGGCAATTTGAGAAGAGCTTTTAACTTGCCTTAACCCTGCCCCAACAAAGGTGCAATTTTGTGCAGTGATAAGTAGTTAAGCCTTTGGCAAGCGCTTAGCGATGCAGCTTTCTAAGACACAAGTATCTTGCAGACTTCTTTAATGCATAAGATAGACGACAGCAATTTAAAGTAGGCATATCCGTGTACTCAGACAACATTTCAAATTCTATGTGTACATTTATTATTAAATTACACTTGTATTTTCTAGTTTTCTAGTAACTTCTCCTTGAATGCTATTATTTATACACAAAAACTCATTCAATATAAATTCCCACAAATCCATCAAAATATAAAAACTCAAGTTTATTTGTATGAGTGTGATACTCCGATAGATCAAATTACTGTTCTTTTTTGATTATTTATTATTTAAGTTTTTTTTTTCTTCTTTTTATTATTAATATAAAATTTGAAAAGCAAATTCCTATACATTTTTTAAACGTACAAATATTTAAATTTCGAACTAATTCAAAGGTTTACTTTTAGTTAAAAAAAAAAAAAAAAATTTATATATTTATATGTATATATAATATAATAAATAAATTATTATATATATATATAAGTTAAGTAATGCTCCTGTCGTTCCAAGAATCGACAGTCGCATCCTAGGGTTCATTGAAGGTGCCATCGCCGTATTGCATGGCGACACATACTTAATAGTAGAAGCTGGTTGGGATGAACATGATTCAACAAATAAGAACTCAAAGGACTTCAATAAAACGTTATAACGTTTAATACTCAAATGTTTTTATACCCTGAACCCATTTTCAATGGGAAATCAGGGTATAATGGTTTTGTTGATATGTATGTAACAGGCAGAAGGAGGCGTGGCAGACCCCACAAAGTATATATATTCTTGATCAGGGCGACGAGCTGAGTTGATTTGGCCCTGTCCGTCTGTCTGTCCGTCTGTCCGTCCGTCCGTCTGTCCGTCCGTCCGTCTGTCCGTCTGTCCGTATGTATGAACGCGTCGATTTCAGAAGATATAGGAGCTAGAGACTTCAAATTTTTTTCTTAAATGTTCGTAATTACAGCGCGCATATCAAGTTTATCATTAAAAATCGATAACTCATCCCGATCTTTTTTTATCGATAAAAAACCTTATCGAAAACCAGTTATAAAATTATATCTTCTACACCTTTATTGCTAGAGTCTCCAAATTTTTAATGTATGCTTATATGCAATTTATACAATTTCGGTTTTTGTTAAAATTTACCCCCCACCCTTAAATTCATCCCCTCACCGTCACTTTTGTAAAAAGCGTATTTCAAATACTAGAGACTTGTGCTTTGGCAATTACATGCATATCCATGTCATAATCATAATCTGAAAGTTTCATGAAGATCGTACGTTCACAAAAAAGTTATTAAGCAATTAAGTTCTCATAGTAAGCGCACACTGCAGCCCATGCGTGTTTATGCGTGGTTGCTTGTATGTGTATGTGTGTGTGTATGTGTGTGTGTGTATGCGTTTGTGTCTGTATGCGTGTGTGTGTGTATGTGTGTCTGTATGCGTGTGTGTGTATGTATACCTGTGTGTGCGTACGTGCGTGTGTGTGTGTGTGAGTGCGTGTTTCTTGTGTAAGCTGAAAGTCGCGAAAAAGTATTGAAATATCTATTGCTCCAAGGGTTCAGGGGATCTCGTAGTCGAGCAGTCTCGACTAGAGCTTTCTTACTTGTTTTAATTTTGGGTTAGTTAGGTCTGAATGATTCGGCGAGTCGTCTGGAACTGATCTTCCAGTTGCCCAATGGCTAACTCCCCAGTTCTTCTTGAAGTCATGGCGAGCTCGTCGCAGTGGCAGAGCAGCAGCAGCGGAGCAGCGGCGGCTGCAACGTCAGCGCCCTATTTCGGCTGCTGTCGCATCCGCATAGCGGAGCAACAACGGCGTCAGCGGTAGAGCGGATGTCGCATCAGCGGTTCTTAGCTGGCCGTCGTTGAACTCTTGGCAGTAGCGGCGTGGGCGTAAGTGGTTTCCAATAGCCATCGCTGAAACTGCGCATTGGTTTCCGGTGTCGACTCGGCACTTCAAGCGTCAGCGTAACTGCAATTGTGTTGCAATAGCTGGGTCGAAGTGGCGCAGCCGTTTCGATGTTAGCGTAATTTGTTGTCAAGTGGGTAATCAAGGCGTGGGGCGAAGTGGTCTGAGATTTGAGACGTTGATTAAGCGATAAACAAACATTTAAAAATTTGTAAAATTGTAAAACGTAAAAATATAAATGTATATTTTCTACAAAAACTCAATGCTTGCTTATTTAAAATTATGTCTAAATCCTTTAAAATTGATATACCTAAATTTGGTTTTACTTCAAAGTACTTCTTCTCTTATGATATCGTTACTTCGATGAATGACATTCATACCAAAGTACATATTTTAATTATAAATTATAAATTCGTTCAATCATGACCACATTTTCATATCTTTCTTATTTTCCCTTCATTATTGTAGCTTGTTTGCTTTTCTGTTTTGTGATATTCATATCTGCTAAGAACTTTATTCTTGAATAGTCATCAGTCAAGCCTGATTAAGTACTAAGATATAAAGAATTGTGTATTAATATGCCTACTAGATATCTACAGGGTTTAAATTAGATCTATTAACTAAACAAACTACTGATTATCTCCTCTGCTGATTTACCAAAAAAAAAAAAAGTTCGATATAGAGTAGAGCAGGGTAGAGTAGGGCAGAGGTAGAGGTAGAGGAATTTCGCACCATTTTTCTTGGCTTCTTCATCCAAAAATATTCAATTGCTTGTGACCTTGAATGAGTATTACGTAGTCGGCAGCGTCCGACTCAGCTTTCATGTCATCTTTGAATAATTGTCTATTTTCTTGTTTTCACAGATGGCAAATTCCATTTGCTGCCAACTGGTGAGCTGCTCATTCACAATCTGCAGGAGAGCGATGAGTCGCAATCCTTCCGCTGTCGCAGCATGCATCGGCTAACCCGTCAGGTTGTTGTCAGCTCGCCCACGCGATTGCGCATTAATTGTGAGTGACCCAATCACAGCGACTGCCTGATACTCAAAGAGACAGTAGCACACACTGTGCACAGGTGCACTCTGCACAGGTGCACAGGTGCACAGCGCTAACAGCAAGACTAACCAATGTCAATCTCTACATCTCATACAGCGCATCGCGGCATCATCTCACCGAGCGTTGTGGAGCACACATCTCATGTGCAGGTTTCGCAGGACGAGGGCGCGGTGCTGCTGTGCGTGGCACAGGGTTGCCCTTCGCCTGAATACAGGTAGGTAGTAGGCAGGCGGTGGCGGGTGGGGCGTAAAATCGATGGCACTGTCAGCCAGCTAGACACATTACAGGTGAAACTTTTGACGTTGACAGCGTTGCCTTTGTGTGAGTTAATTGGAACGCATATACATTCACACCCACACAGAAGGGTGTTGTGTGTGCGAGCGTTTAGGGCTTCCAAGCATATAAATAAAACTGTGGCCGCTGCAACATGGCCAGTGATTGTGTTAAATGTGTCGAGAGAGTTGCCAGCTTGCCATGGAACGCTAATTAAAATATGAAGTTGAGCGCCGTCTACCTTAAAGTTGGGCATGAACTCGAGCACTAGATGCTGCTCTGATGCAGATGTGCGTAACGCGCGTGTGTGTGTGAAATTGTAGAGAATGAAATGTGTACATAGGACATGTGTGTGTGTAGCCGTTTAGCTACTAGAGGTAGGTGCAGGACACATGTGCACACATAATTACGCTTTGATAAGCAGGCAAGTAATAAAAAACTTTCGCTGCACGGCAGCCGGCAACTCGCAACGGCAACCGGCATGCGGCAACCGGCAAACGGGAGCCACCAGTGGAGGCAGCTGAGGCAGCGGCTGTAAATTTCCGAGATACAATGCCAGACTGTAAACGCGAAACAAAAGAATCTATGAGGGCAGCCAAACCACTGTCAGATAGATGGATAGATTGCTGAGCAGCAAATAAAACTGCATAAAAAAAAGCAGCAGAAAAATAAAACTCTAGCCATTTCATAATTAATAAAGTCGGGAGACAGGCGGGTAGACAGCGACAGACACATTGGCAAATGAGCCAGCCATTGGGATTAATGCAACATTAAACAAAGGAAGAGTAGATAAAACATTCAGACACAGACACAGACACAGAGAGCAACATTCGTGTGTGTGTGTGTGTGGGTGAAGCTTACTTTAATAATTTAAATAGTTGGATTAAGCTGGGGTTGACATTTTCGATCACATTTCTTGTAATCCGAATAATTCCTTATGACTCAAGTGAATCTACCTAAGGACAGCGTCAGGATTCAATTATATAAAATTTATATATTTCTAACCACATTCATACTCTATTGTTTTTCTCTTCTCCAGCTGGTACACTCAAAACGGAGCTGGCCCGCTGCCTGTGCTGAGCGGGCCGCGGGTGCGACTGCTGGGGCCCATACTGGCCATCGAGGCGGTCACTGGCGAGGACTCGGGCGTCTACAAGTGTACGGCCAGCAACGTGGGCGGCGAGGCCAGCGCTGAGTTGCGGCTGACGGTGGCCACGCCCATACAAGTGGAAATCTCGCCGAATGTATTGAGCGTGCATATGGGAGGCACGGCCGAGTTTCGCTGCCTGGTGACCAGCAACGGCAGCCCCGTGGGCATGCAGAACATCCTGTGGTACAAGGACGGGCGGCAGCTGCCCTCGTCCGGCCGCATCGAGGACACGTTGGTGGTGCCGCGCGTCAGCCGTGAGAATCGCGGCATGTACCAGTGTGTAGTGCGACGGCCCGAGGGCGATACGTTTCAGGCCACTGCCGAGCTGCAGCTGGGCGGTAAGTAGCGAGGCCAAGTATTGGCAACAGCCGCCGAGTAATTGCAGCTAAAATATTTATATGAATATCCGCAACCACACTGGCCTTGCAGATGCGCCGCCCGTGCTACTCTACAGCTTCATCGAGCAGACGCTGCAGCCGGGACCCGCTGTTAGTCTCAAATGCTCCGCTGCCGGCAATCCATCCCCGCAAATTTCATGGACACTGGACGGATTTCCTCTGCCATCAAACGGAAGGTAATTGAACTTGTTGAAAACGGGCTCTGCCTAGTGCGCTGCCGGTGGGTGGAGCTCGACTATTGCCAACTCTGCGGGTGGCACCGCAAAAAAAAAAAAAAAATAAAAACTGAAAAAAATAGAGGAAAAATGAACAGAAACAGAAAAATGCGGCGGAAGCTGCATTTATTGCGCTCGTTGTATATATTTTTCTCTTTTTGCATTTTTTTTTTTTTAGCATTTGGCTTTTAAAACATCGCACGTATAGAAAGTAGCTCTGTCGGCTGCCGACGCCGACGCCGACGTCAACGCCGACTGCCAGTAGTCGTGCCTAGTGAGTGCGCGGCTCGGCGCCGGCTTCAACGTTCATTCACTCTATGGAGGGGCACAGCCACTGGCAACGGTCTAAAGACTTTGCACGGCCCACTCCTGTGTCTGGCCAAGGTTCTGGCTTTGGCTTTCTATTTGTTAATTAAGGCTCGGCAAGTGTGTTGTTTGCCTGACGCATTTAATTACATTTTTAGTCTGGCCCAGAGCCAACATCCAATAGAAATTGCCAACTGGCAACTGGCAAATGGCAACTGCTTATTAAATTCCCAGTGGCTCTTTAATGACATTGACATTTGCATTCAACGGTCAAGCGCTCCAAGTAGTTGCCTTTATTTGCCACAAACAAATAAAATGCAACAGCACATCGATTGATTGGCTGCCTCTACTGCAGCTCCCACTCTCACTCCCACAACCACTCCCATCCCCATTCGCATTCTCTTGGCCTGCCTTTGATGGCATTTCATCTGATTTTTATTTTTACTACGGCATTCTCCACTCTGCACTCTCCGGGCCGCACTTCGTTTTCAGTTTGTTGCCAGCTGCCACTAATTGTTTGAGTTACGTCTGTAATGATTTGCAAGTCAAAGTTGGTCCGTTGTTGACTTCTGTTGTTGATTAAAAATGGCCCCAGTTCGTTTTATTAACATTGACTTTGGCTGTCATTTAGTTCGTCTGTTTGCTGTCCAATAAAAAAATCATAGCTGCGCTTCAGCTCCCAACTGCACTCCGTTGTAGCTGCTGTTTTTAATTAAAACTAATGTCATCTGCTGGCCAAAGAGCACGTTGAAAGTTACAAAAGTGTTGCATAAATATGTATGTATATATATATATATAAGCAGAAACTCGTGTTGTTTTCCTCTTAATTTGATTATACACTGCATATATTGAATATTCCTATATCCCATCTGTGATCACTGAGGAATTGTCTTAAATAAATTCTTTTTATTTATTTCATTTTACAAAGAACGAATTGCCAGCAGTCTGACCTGACGGTTATTGAGGGAATTGCTCTCATCAGCCACATCTGTCACTCTTCAGCTGCATATCATGCGCTGGCTGAACTTCAAAATAATCAAAAACATTATTCATGTAAGGAGCTTGCGACTTTGCCATGAATATGTTTTATTCAAGGGCTGAGCTCTTTCTCGCTGAGCTTCATTTGAATATGTCCAGCACTTTTTAAGGAGTTTGGCCGACCACAGGGCACAAATTGATTACAAGCATTTTCGAGTGGGCAGTGCTAAAGTTTGTCCAGAAGTTGCCGACACTCTGGGTGCTGTCGTCGCCCTTGGCTTCAATTTAAAAGTTATTTAAGCAACACAATTTTGACAAATAATGCCATTAGGCATTATACTCCTCCAGATGCCCGTATTGAAGGCGCTGGGGCAACCTAATTTCCAACTGCAGACATTCCGTTGCCAGTCGCTTGTCGCTTGTCGCTTGCTGTAATTGCCGAGTTTTAAGTGGTTTACATTATTCGGTTTAAAGGTATATCAACTCGGTAACTGTATTTATTTAATACACACGCAGACAGCCAGCCAGACAGTCGAGCAAACAGGCTGACAGACAGAGAGTTTGGCAAGAAGACAGACAGACAGGCAGAGAGACAGCCAGCCAGGCAGGCAGCAGGCAATGCGGGGGCTCTGCGAGCAGGAGCCGAGCTGAAGCTGACGCTGGAGCTGACGCCTTGGGGCGGAAATTAAATGATTGCGCGCACGAGGTAACGCAACACTCAAACGCTCATTTTACGCCATTTGGAGAAGTTTGTCTGAGGCATGTAGCATGTGGCAGCATTGAAGGCGTCGCCGCTTACTCGCTCGGCATGTGTGTGCGCATGCTGTGCTGCGCTCGTCTACTGCTGCAGGCTGTCTGGAGCGTGTATGTGTATGTTTAATTTTGGCTTGAATAATTCAGCGTTAAGTGCGCCACAAATGTAAAGTTGTGTATAACTTTATACAAATAAACAAAGCACTTGCCTATTGCCAGGGTCATTGCAGAAATTTCAATTAAAGACCAAAATAGTTTCAGTTCTTAAATACATTGCAGGCAAGCGCCATTGAGGATCACCGACTGATTAATACTCGTTCACAGCGTGATTATAGTTGCACTTACTAACCATTTACTCCTCATTTTTAGGTCTATTTGCGGAGGGTAAAATGATATTATACATATACATATATAGATTATCGTCGTAAAGTAGTTGTCAAAAGTTGGGGTTTTTATGCTCAATTGAGAAATTATTAGCCTTAATATCGGTAAAGTACTTGGCCTTTGTGCAGAGAGAAGGATGGAAAGTTAGGTTTTAATAATTAAAGTAATTTTACTCTTTATTTATTGTCTTTCTTGCTGTAAATACTATTATTCTTGTTAGATTTATATTCATTTTTTCATGATTTATTTATTTTTTATTTTTTATATAATTATAATTGTTTTATGATTATATGTATTATTTTTATATATTTTTTATTGGACAATATCAATATACTCTTTTCACTTTGCAAGCTCATCTAGGATTTCCAGTTCTGTTAGGAAGATTTTACATGAATAAATATTTACGTAAGTTTTTAGCATTTGGAATACGTGCTCTACGTATATATTCATCAGATTATTTTAAAATATTTTAGGAGAGGAGTTAATTGAAAACTGCCCATTAGACTGTGTATCAATATACGGGATTATTAAGTAAACACATTTTAAGTAAACACCGAAAACAATGAAATGCTGTTTATTAATAACTATATTAAAATTAAAATTATATTAAAATTAAAGTGATAACTTACCATACATTTAATTTTGATTCTCACCAATAATTTAAATATATATTTTTTCGTGGCTTATATGTATAAGAAATTCTTTTTTAAACCCGACATGCTTAGCCCTTTGTCAGAGCTCAAAAGTTTTTAACTTAATTTGCCCTAATCGACTTTATTTAAATTTCATCAAGTATTGAATTACATTAGAGGCATAATAAGTGTCCTCTTAAGAAATTCGGTATCTGTAAAACTTATAAGCGCTCTCATATAATCCATTTAACCGTCAACGAGCTGCAGTGCGCCACGTGGAATCTCGGTTCAGACAAATTGAAATTCATAATTTTGTAAGTTTGCAGACAAACTTTTTCACTTCGCACTGAATCTTAAGTTGTTGCAACAACTACTTTTATTTTTGTCGAAATTAAGCCACCTAAAAGCTTGCACAGGAGACACACACACACTCACATACACACACATAGCCAAACACCCACACACGCGGATTTACACAACAATCAACTAAAACAGCATACAAAAGCTGCGCCAACTATTAGGTTTATTTTGTTGCAACCAAAGCGCTTTATGCCACAGCCAATCCCGTCCCTGCTCCTGCCTGATGCCCCTTCCCCCACCCGTTGCCGACTTATAAACTCAACCAGACATCTCACACACTCGCTTCCGCTTAAAGTTTCGTAATGGCGTTTAAGCTGCCACTCCATGGCTGTAGGATGCGGGGCCACTTTCGTTCTGCCATCTGCGGATGTGTGCAACTTGCAACTTTGTTGCAATTTTGTCCCGGCATTGTTTCAATGCGCTCAATTGTTGCAGCTAGCAGCCATGTCCATGGCTGAACATTTGGGGATATGAGTGGGTCTGTGTGTGGCTGTGAGCTTGTGTGTGCGTGTTTGTAAGTCTGAGTTTTGAGCAGCTTCATTTTCATTTAACTACAGTTGTTGTTTTTAACAAGCGTCGCGCGACGCTCGTGGGGCACGGCCACTTTATAGAGTGGCAACCGCCAGCCGCTAAGTTTTTCGGTTGACTTTGTCACTTTCTGGGGAAATCAGCGTCCGAGAACCAAGTGCATTTACGATCGCTGTGCAGCCCGCGCAGGGCTTGGCCCGGACAGCTGCGAAAGTTAATTAAAATTGTAATTACTTTGCCTGCTCCAACTCTAATGCCAATTGAAATGTTGATAGCGCGTCGCCCGCAAACTAATGAGCCACTGGATGCGATGCTTCGCTTCCTAACGAGAGCCCACAAAGCCGCTTGTGTCTGTGTGTGTATGAGTGCCATATGGCGAATGCGGAACATTGTTTGCTGTAATTAATGTATTCGCCAATAAGACGGCTTGCAAACAAATAGACTTAAGCCAGCTTGAGCGCTCATAAAAATCCTTTTTTTTTTTTTTTTTGTTCTTCATTATTTGCCATGACAACGTAATGGGCGCATTAAGTGGAGCTCGACTGTGATGTCTATTTGGCTGTGGCTTGTGGGCGTGGCACATGACATTGAAAGCAGAGCAGAAACTGTGCTAAGCCTGACAGCTTGTCAGAGCGACAGAACGACAGAGCGGCAGAGCAACATGGAGGCAGACTTCATTACATCTAAATAATGCAATGTTACGTATACGCCGTGTTGTGTCGAAAACAAATGAAGCCCAGAGCCAAAGCAAAGGATTTGGGTCAGCCTGCATACGAGATGCGGCTCGTTGAGCCTGTGCAAATATGTGTGTGTGTGTGTGTGTGTGTGTGTGTCTGTGTGTGTGTGTGCATATACAAGGGCTCGTACATGGCTCACTAATATGCATGTAGCTGCTCGTTAATGCCCCTGGCCTGCCGCTTAAATATGCAGCAAAATAAAAACGAATACACGAGTATACGAATATAAAATGCATATCGCATTGCACACTGCGCGCATTCTGCGTGTGGGCCATTCAAATGTTTTTCGTACTAATGCATCTGTTCTCATGGTATTTCTCTGTCTTCTTTTCGCAGATTTATGATCGGACAATACATCACCGTGCATGGAGATGTAATTAGTCATGTTAACATAAGCCATGTCATGGTCGAGGATGGCGGTGAATACTCCTGCATAGCCGAGAATCGTGCGGGTCGAGTGGAGCATGCAGCTCGCTTGAATATTTATGGTATGTGCTACATTCGCAAATCACACACAACTGTCTCTGCATATGTCTCTCTCTGTCTATCTCTCTCTCTATATATGTATGCGTGTGTGTGTAAACAGCTACTTTACACATGCACTTAAACGTTTTTCAGTTCTCTCAGTTTTTGTTTGTATTTTTGGTCTTCTCTTTTCGGTGATTTTATGTTGCCTACTTTTGTGCACCGTTTTCATTTTCTTTTTTTCTCTTTTACATCGCTTTTGCTTTGTTTCCAACACTTCACTCTGTGCGCCTTTCTCGCCTATCTACGTATGTATGCAGTATCTGGCTGCAGTTTGCTTTGCAGCTCTAAAGTGTTGTTCAAGGCGCATTCCCCCTTGTGCACACAAGCAGAGGGCCTCGTCTCGCTGAGGGCCTCATCTACCTTGTTTTTGCAAGAAATCAAATATTTTTGTGTCGCCGCGCAAACAAAATGGCGTTGCCAAGCGGAGGGAAGCGCAAGCAAAATGACAGCAGAGGAAAAATAAATATAAGAACTGCGCCCAACGCTTTCGCTTAAAGTTAAACATGAAGCAAAAGGCATTCTCGACTAGTCGATGTTAAAACAACCTGCGAGTCTATATGATATGACAACAACTATTCAATAATCATCAAATTGTTGCATATATAGCATCACGTATATATTAAATATATCATCTCAATCTCTTCACTTGTGCCGATATTCATTTATGTTCCGTATACAAAGCAAATATATTCAAAGAGTGAGAGGTTAGTCAATTAAATCTTCATTAATTCATTTTAAATTTGCATAAATATACTTTATATATTTATAATATGCTCACATTATGATTCAGATTATTCGGAAGTCATTCTTTCGCATCGGCTTTCCTATGCCAAGCTGACTCTAGTCAGAGCTTCTGCTTTACTTCGCATAATGCAAGTATCTCAAAGCAGCGCCTCATCCTGCTTGAATTCTCGCTGTGTCGCTGATTACGCGACTTGGTAATGGCGGTGATTACAAAAATCTCTGGCGCGGGTGCAGACAGCGACACCAAACTGCTCACGTATGACATGCTAGAAAATTATGCATACTCCGCAGAATCCACAAGCACCAGCGTAAGCAGCAGCCGCAGCAGCGCACCAACAACATGTTGTTGTTGTTGCTGTTGTTGCTGCTTGGCGGCATTTGCTGCATTGTTTCCTTCCGCATTCTGCAGGCGCAGAGCGAAAAGCGAAAAGCGTTTCGGCGGCTCTGCTTAGAGAGTCTGCCTCAGAGTCGGAGTGACGGCAGTCAGGATATGCATATTACATTGGCGCTGCTTCCTGCCTTTCCTTTTCCTTTGCTTGTTTGCTCGCTGTAATATTTGCTGTTTGCTGCATTATTAAATGAGCAACGTGTACACAAATCTGTTAAGCACTCACGTTTGTCAACCGCTCGCCCCGCAGGTCTGCCCTACATACGCCTCATCCCCAAGGTGACAGCTGTCTCGGGCGAGACATTGAATCTGAAATGCCCCGTCGCCGGCTACCCCATCGAGGAGATACACTGGGAGCGCGGCGGACGCGAGCTGCCCGACGATATACGGCAGCGCGTGCAGCCGGACGGCTCGCTGACCATCAGCCCAGTGCAGAAGCACACCGACTCCGGGGTCTACACGTGCTGGGCCCGCAACAAACAGGGTCACAGCGCCCGGCGCAGCGGCGAGGTGACGGTCATAGGTTAGTATATCTTTGTGAACTGCCAACTGTCGGCCAGTTGGCCAGTCTCCTCCACAGCTACAGCTACAGCTACAGCTACAGCCACTGCCTCAGCTCACAGTGCGGATTGGATGACGAGGGAACAGACAAATGAAAGCTCCGATGACGTCGAGTGAAAATTACATTTTAATTATTAACAGCAAATTAAGTAGATTGTACGGAGCTTTAAGTTTTGATTTCGCTTTTAATTTTGGCGCGTATGCCGCATCTGCTTATACCCTTATTAAATATGCGCAATAATCCCAGCTTAAAAGTTTGTAAATTAAAAAAAATGAAGAAGAAGAAGCAAACCAAAGTGCGGAGGAGTGCGAGTCAGCGCATTTGCTGATGGCGGCGTGGCCAACGACCCTTTTTCTAATTTTGTTCTTTTTCAGTTTTATTTTTATTTTAATTAATGAATGTGCGGGCTAATGAAGCGCAACGTTAATTAAATGTTGATAATTTGTAACCTTTTTCCGAGATTTGGTCCGTCGCTGCCGCAATCAGCGGGCCACAGTTAAAGTTTTCGTAATTACATTGATTGCTGGCTCAGTGTGGCACTCCTCCCGCTTCTCTCACTCATGTTTGCCTTGACCCAACCACTTGCAGTGCCGCCGCGTCTCAGTCCGTTCCAAACGTCGATACTGCAGCTGAACATGGGCGATCGCGCCTCGCTCACCTGCTCCGTGGTGAAGGGCGATCTGCCATTGACCATCAACTGGCGCAAGGACGGCCGCCCCATCGACCCCACGCAGCACATGTCCGTCAAGCAGGTGGATCAGTATAATAGCATTCTGGTCATTGACCACCTGGGCAGCGACCACACGGGCAACTACTCGTGCGTGGTGCGCAACTCGGCGGCGGAGGTGGAGAACTCGCAGGCGCTCCTGGTGAATGGTAAACAACTGAGCTGTGAACATCATTCACTCCTCTAAAAAAAACACTATATATCAAGTATTTTACGAATATTATCCTTAGTTAATAGTAGTTGCGTTTTTCGTATGCACTTTGTTTAATGTAATCAACAACATCACTAATGATCGACAATCGAAATTTCACTTGTCCTGCAACATCCTTATACATAAACATATATATATTGTCTATAATATATATATATATTCATCTAATTGTAAATTGTGTTCAAGAAACGGCATTAGCTATTCCATATATTGTTATGAAACATATCGTATATCTTTATAAATCACTTTCACTTCAAGTTCTGGAATGTTTGTACAACCAAGTAATATACTATTTCGTAGAGTTTAACAATCCTTTAACAAATCTGCGAAGGTTTAGCTGTACACATGAATGTATGTATGAAATTTAAATTAGGAAACATCCACAGCAACAGCAAACAGCAGCTCAGCGCGGGATCAACATCAATTGAAGGATTGGATTTCGACGGTTGCAGACTCTTGGGTCTGGCAGTGAGACTTGTTAACATTTCTGGTTGCTCTTTCCTTCTTGCAGTACCGCCGATCATAGAACCGTTCGCCTTTCAGGATGGCCTGGCCGAGGGCATGCGCACGCGCACTGTCTGTGGCGTTTCGCGCGGCGATGCGCCCTTGAAGCTGATCTGGCTTAAAGACGGCGAGCCGCTGCCCGAGCTGCTGGGTGCGAATATCACCATGCTCGATCAGTATAGCTCGCTGCTGAGCATTCCCTCGCTGTCGGCCTCGCACTCCGGCGAATACACGTGCGTGGCCAAGAACCCGGCAGCTGAGATCAAATATACCGCTCTGTTGCAGGTCAAAGGTAGCGTAATAGGTTACAAGCCCAAAACACAATCAACAACACTACTCCAATACACCAACACACCAGTACATCTATACACCTACACCTTTGTCGCATTCAACACCCAACAGGATCTAATTAACCACCTTAAACTTTCACAACTGCCCTAAATAATCATTTTTGCTTTCTCGCTGATGTATTCAAGAAAAGCGCTTCTTAATGGTTTTGAGTTATTGATTTGATTCGTTTAATTTCTAAGAAATCAACTTTTTGATGCTTGTCCTACGCCCCACAAGCTCAATCGTAACTGAACGTTGCCAAACTCTTGGTGCTTTGTTTTTGACGGTTTCACTCTACCAAAATAACAACAAAACGAACAAAAAGATCATATAATCTAATAATAAACAAGACAAAACAAAATCCCAAATAAATCCAAATGCCAGAGATTGCCCAGCTTAAAACATCCATAAAATTATTTATACAAATCCTCATACCCTTAAGACGCTTTGGCACGCTGTGGGTTTTTTAACAACAGTCTCACCAGGTAACCTCATAAACTGCACTGCTTCTTATTCGCTTCGTAAACAGAACCGCAAAATTTGTTATAAACATATATATATATATTTAAGTATTCTCACCTATAATAAACCACAACATTTACATCAATTGACGATGAGTTGCGATATTTCATTTACAACGCTTTTTATACCACTAGAGAAACGACGGCTTGCCGTGGTTGAAATGCGCTCTTTGAAAGATGATGGTAATTATCGAACTCTAAGTAATTGTTAGCATATAGTATGCGATTGTATTAAAGAGTGAATCCTTTCACCCTTGCTTCCTTGGAAGAGCGCACGTCTGGAACATTTTACTCGAATTATAATTTATTCAAATGCTCATACACAACAATATGAAAACATTAGCTGGCCTAACATTAATTTGCTTATTCGCTTAATCCTTTTTGTTGCCAACTCTCTCGCTGTGTATAGAGTACGATGCATACGAATTTTGGTACCCTTTCTTTTGATTTGTTTTTGTTACTGCCATTTTTTTGGACTTGCAGCTTCAAAACTTAGCGCACAACGGCTGCTGTTTGCCCGCTCCCCCACCAAAAACCGAATAAAAATAAAAACGCTAACTAATACGAAAACAGAATTATTGAATGGCCAAGCCTTAGCTATAAATGTGCTGTGCTTAATTAACAAGAATATAAACTAACTGATACAGCTGAATCAGCTATAAATCCACTGAAGATGCCCCGCTTATGCTTCAATTTGGCTTTGGACTCTGTTTAACTGCTGACACTCTGCGTGTGTGTGTGTGAGTGTGTGTGTGTGTGAGTGTGTGATGGCCATTTTCTCTATCTCTGCTTCTGCGTGTATACATGTGTGGGTGTGTGCGCTTTTTATTCTGCTCTCTAAATGCAAAGGCATATTTTTTTTGCAGAATAAAAAGTACAGTGAAACCAAATTATAAGCAATATATAAATTTAAAGCTTCGCAGTATTTGCTAATGTAGTTGACAATGAATGTACCATAGCAATGTGGCATGTTGTGGCAGCAGGACAATACTTTGCACGCTCCTTCAATTGCTTTTGTTTTTTGTTTTTTGCATGCAACTGTACAAAATTTATCTCAATTATTTTTTGCAATGCCAGCTGCCAGCTGCCATTGGCATTGCCATTGCCACTGCCATTTGCATGCGCATAGTGCATAGTGCATATTACTTAGTAGAATGAGTTTTAGTTTCTTTTATTTATGATTTGCTTGCTCTCTGCTCTGTTCTTATACGCAGTTGGCTCTCGATATTGTTTTCAGTCGTGTTGCGCCAAGCTCAAACTAATGCAAAATATGTATCCAAATTCTTTACTTATCTGATTTTCCTTGGCGAGAACGAGTCGAAAACTGTATCGAGAACACGTGTGTACATTAATTTGATTTAGTTTATATGCCCAATTACCCAGGCTGCTGTTGTGTGCAAAGATTTTTTCCAACTAGTCGCTATTAGCCAACGCGCTGTCGTAGACCCAGCCGAACCCGCTTTATGTACATCACAAGAGAGCCAACCCAGACCAGACTACAAACTGCTTTTTAAAAATGCTCTTAATTTCCTTTATGAACACATATTGCTTTATTTCTTTTGTATTAATAACTGCTTGACGAGCAAAGGGCTGGCTAGTAAATGTATTTGTGATAAACAACAACAAAAAAAAAAAAGAAGCAATTATTGGCCTTATAAATCATTGAAATGCACTTCGCGGCCATGCGAGTGCGTGGGCGTGGCACATGCTTTTAAAAACTAATTATTGAAGGCCCCTTTGGTTTTTGTGTTGCGCAATCAAGTTTTTCATTTCCATCTGCGTGCTTAACAATAAAACTCATATAATCGTGCATATAAAACATTTATGTCCTTTCTGTTGCAGTTTCATTTTAATGCAAATATTTTCCAATACGATCCTGGCATGCCTTTGACAGTTATTTACCCCGCCACAAGGGGAAGTTTTTCATTTTATTATTATTATTTATTTATTTTCAATTTCTGTTTTTTGTAATTTGTACAATAAACTGCGAAACAGCGAGCCGCAGAGCGTGGGCCCACAAACAAATATAAATTTAAAATACAAAGAGAAAAAAACAATGAAAAAAGAATACAAAACAGAAACAGCAATAATAAAAATTAATTAAAATATGACTAAAAAATCCTTGCACAACAACCAACCTCATTAAAGAGTTTACCTCACGGATCTTATGTAAAATAAAGCATCCGGCTTAAAGCATCGACTACTTAAATTATTTCCATTTTGATTGAGTTGCATAAAACCTTTTGTTACAATTACAATTATAAGTAAGATATGAACAGCCCAACTGTACATTAGTTGAATCTTTTTCTATACGCTACAAACCTTTCTATTACTCTCAACCAATTTGAATAGTCACAGAGCCTTATTTTGCCGTTTATACTTTGCCAGATATCTTCACTTTTCCTCTGTCTCTCTCTATCTCTCTCTCTCTCTCTCTGTCTGTCTCTATAACTCTCAAATTAATACCTATTCTGTATGTCTTAGAGGACTTTTGATTTGAACCTTTATCGAATTGCCAGTCACACATTTCTAATATTACGTATACGCTCTGTAGTGCCGCCCCGTTGGATTGTCGAGCCAGCCGACGCGAATGTGGAGCGCAATCGTCACATAATGCTGCACTGCCAGGCGCAGGGCGTGCCCACGCCCAGTATCGTGTGGAAGAAGGCAACAGGTCAGATATGTCAATTCGATTGACCCACATCTCTTTATTCAATATATAAATTAGATTAGAGCATCATAAATGCATGACTACATTCTTCCCTTGCAAAATTCTCGTACTCATCTTATTCATAGTTTATAGTCTCACTTCGGTATACCATATACATACATGTATAAAAAGAAAAGGAGAATAAATCGTATCTATTTTAAATTTATAATTCCCATCAACAGGCAGCAAATCGGGCGAGTATGAAGAGGTGCGGGAACGCCCATTCACCAAGCTCTTGGGCAATGGCTCGATGCTGCTGCAGCATGTGAAGGAGGATCGCGAGGGATTCTATTTGTGCCAGGCGAACAATGGCATCGGCACGGGCATTGGCAAGGTCATACAGCTGAAAGTCAACTGTGAGTATCAGGGAGATGTGCTAGATAAAACGAAAGTCGGCAATTTTCCTAATTGCAACGGCAATTGTGATTCGGGTGCATTTGTATTGGCTGCAAGTGCAGCTGCTGCTGTGGAGATAATTGAAATGTGAAATGTTGCATTTTGAATTTTGCAGCCTCCCCATACTTCTCCTCCACGTCGCGCTCGGTCACCGTTAAAAAGGGCGACACGGCTCTGCTGCAGTGCGCCGTCAGCGGCGACAAGCCGATAAATATTGTGTGGATGCGCTCGGGCAAGAATACGTTGAATCCGTCAACCAATTACAAGTGAGTGTAAATGAGAGGGATATAGCTCATGCTCTTACTTATTCGGCAATCCCAATCGTTGCAGAATCTCGGTCAAGCAGGAGGCCACACCGGATGGTGTTTCGGCGGAGCTGCAGATACGCACAGTGGACGCCACGGACAGTGGGCCGTACTTCTGCCGCGCCAGCAATCTCTATGGCAACGACCAGCAGCTGGTGCAGCTGCAAGTGCAGGAGCCCCCGCAGCCGCCCAGTGTGCTGGAGGCGGCCATGATCAGCAGTCGCTCCGTGAACCTCAAATGGCAGCCCAAGGCGCTCAGCACGGGCGACGTGTCCAAGTACATAGTGGAGTACCGCGAGGCAGATCGTAAGCATTCTACTGTGAATAGTTCCCCATCAAACTAACTCTCTTTCCCTCTCTCTCTTTCAAATGTGCCTTCTCACATCTTAGCCGTTCTCTTCATCGACCAGTGGCAGCATTTGGAGGTCAAAGATCCGCCCAGCTTCAATGCATTGATTGAGAATCTGAAGCCGGCGACTCGGTATGCTTTCCGGGTGATAGCCGAGGGCAATGCGGGACGCAGTGCGCCCAGTCAGGAGCTGATTGTGCGCACAGAGCCCCAACGACCCGCTGGGCCACCCCTGAATCTGTCTGCCCGTCCTCTCTCGTCCACAGAACTGCTGGTTAGCTGGGCGGCACCACTGCCAGAGCTGCGCCACGGCGATATCCAGGGCTACAATGTGGGCTACAAGCTGATCAGCTCGGGCAACTCTGCCTACAATTTTACGTCCGTTGCGGGCGACGGTGAGGGCGGCAATGGAGAGCTCCTGCTCAGTGGACTGTCGAAATTCGCGCGCTACAATATCGTGGTGCAGGCCTTCAATCAAGTGGGTCCTGGTCCACTGTCGGAGCCGATTGGGGCGCAGACGATGGAGGATGGTAAGCTCTCATTGCTGCGAGTATGAGTATTGAATATTAATAGTTACGTTTCTGTGTAGTGCCCAGTCGTCCGCCGGAGGATGTTCGCTGCGCTGCCCTGACGTCCCAGTCGCTCCAAGTCTCGTGGCAGCCGCCGCCAATTTACCACACGAACGGCCTGCTGCAGGGCTACAAGCTCATCTTCGAGCCCATCATCGACGACGTTATGCCCAACAAGGACGAGGTCGAGTCGCGCAAGACCACGGCCCTGACCACGGTGCTGACCGGGCTGCGCAAGTACACCAACTACAGCATTCAGGTGCTGGCGCACACACGCATGGGCGACGGCGTCCTGTCCAAGCCGCTCTTCTGCCACACCGAGGAGGACGTGCCCGAGGCGCCGGCTGACATCAAAGTTGTGGTCAGCTCGCCGCAGTCGCTCTTCATCTCCTGGCAGTCCCCGACCGAGCCCAACGGCGTCATCACCAAGTTCAGCCTCTACACACGCGTGGTCAACGGCCGCGAGGAGCTGAACAACGAGAAGCGTAGCCTGCCCTCGCAGCAGGCCTACTACGAGGCCAAGAATCTGCATCCCCACATGGAGTACCAGTTCTGGGTGACAGCCTCCACCCGCGTGGGCGAGGGCAAGAGCTCGCGCGTTGCCTCCCAGATTACCACGAATCGCGTGCCGGCCAGGATCATCTCCTTCGGTGGCTCCATAGTGCGTCCCTGGCGCTCCACAGTGACGCTGCCCTGCACAGCTGTGGGCAAGCCCAAGCGGGAGTGGTTCAAGGGCGATGTGGCGCTACGCCAGGGCGGCCTGCACAACTCGCAGCTGCTGGACACCGGCGACCTGATCATCTCCAGCCTGCAGCTGGCCGACAGCGGCAACTACAGCTGCCAGGTGGACAACGGCATTGGCACGGACCGCCTGACGCACATGCTGCTCGTCCAGGTGCCGCCCTCTGCTCCCGTGCTCTACGTGACCAGCGCCACCTCGAGCAGCATTCTGATGCACTGGAAGTGCGGCTTCACAGGCAACGCCCCCATCACCGGCTACACCCTCTTCTACCGGCGCGCCACGGGCAACACCGAGGAGATGCAGCTCTCCCGGCACGCCTCCAGCCACGAGCTGAAGGGCCTGGTCTGCGGCAGCACCTACCAGATTCATCTGAATGCCCACAACAAGGTGGGCAGCTCTCCGGCGAGCGTCATGCTGCACGTGCGCACCCAAGGCCAGGCGCCCGGCATGCCGGCGACCACGAGCTTGTTGGCTCCTAACTCCACCTCGGTGCTGATCCGGCTGCACTCCTGGCCCGACAACGGCTGCCCCTTGATGTACTTTGTGCTGCAGTATCGCCCGGTCACAGACGACCCCGACAAGGAGTGGATTTTAGGTGGGGACAGCCAACTCAAGTGGCAGTTAACAAGACTATGATTGACCACATTTCATTTCCCCTTAGTTTCCAATGCCCTGAAGCCCCAGCGTCGCGTCGTCATCTCCAATCTGCAGCCATCCACGCTCTATCAGCTGCGCATGGAGGCGCACAATGTGGCGGGCGTGTCCCAGGCCGAGTTCAGCTTCGTCACGCTCACCAAGGACGGCGACCCGCCCCCGCCGGAGATTGTGCAGCGCGGCCAGCGGGGACCGAGCGTGTTCTACGGCAACGTGAACCTGCTCATTCCGAGCATTGCCGCCGTCTCTGGCATGATTTGCACCATTGCCTTGGTTATCATATGCTATCGCCACAGTAAGTAGAAGCGCGTCTTACGCCAAGCACCTCACTGAGTGTCTGCCCTTGCTCGCCCAGAACAAAGCAACCACATACAAAAGGAGTCGCTGGAGAACCGCGCCAACTCTGAGGCGGCGCAGCGTGAGCGCTACTATGCGACCATCCACAAGGTTTCCATGCAGAACAATGACAAGATTCCGGGTAAGTGTCAGCGCTCAATCAGTTGACACGGCCAAGCTCTAAGCCCGCGGCTCTTCCACAGAAACCTCTGAGGACATTTCGCCGTACGCCACCTTCCAATTGTCGGAAGCGGGCAACATGTCACAGCCGCATCATGCCGGTCCGGCCAATACGCTGCTGCACTCGTTCATGTACCACGAGAGGGCTCTGGCCGAGGGCTGCTCGTCGCCACCACCAGCTGCGGTACTAAAACCAACCACCACCCATCACCACCACCACCACAACCAACGTCCACAAAAGACAATTCATAATTATTATCAAACCTCACCGTTTCATAATATCGTGCGTTTGTTTATTCATTTCTTTGATTTTAGCTCTCTTTCTCTCTCTCTCTCTCTTCATCTGTGCCCCCTCTCCTGTCTGTGGGGGGGGCACTAGACCTACAATTAGTGTGTATTTTTCCATAGAATACTACGTGCTTTTTATGTTGTTTCTCTGCTCGAGTTTTACGTTTATCTAAGTTCCCTTAAGTGCAATGCCGTCTACCATGTGGGCATTGAGCGACGCGCTCTGCCTCGTCTCACAGTCAGTTTTTTGTTGGGTTTTAGTTGATCCTTTGTTTCGTTCGAGAGCGTTTACCATCCCCAAACGCTTTTGTAGTAGCTAGCCGAACCTGGCGATCATTCACTCAGTCCCTGCTAATGTTATGCTTTGTTCTATGCGCAGTCCAAGAATCGACGGCGCCACTCACGCAAAACGGAGCCAGAGAGCGAGGAGTCCGAGTCCGACCAGGATCAGCTTACTTCCAGCCGCACCGAGTCTTCCAATCAGCACGAGGGCAAGATCAAGCACAGTAAGTCCATTGACCCTCTGGCCCTAGTCACAGCACCTGGCAAGTGTCGCATATGAAGGTCGATAAGATAAATATATATGTATGTACATTTGAGGGAAAGTATAGGCAGATACAGGGAATAAGTCAAATAAGTCTTCTACTGTCTGTTGGTTTGTATGAGTGTGTATATACTATCCCAAATTCTTTCCTCTTTTGTCCTCTTTATCCGCAATGGATAGATCAATCATACACATGCAAATGTTAATATATTTCAATATTTGATCGAGCTGGAACTTCTGCTGAGAGCATGAAAAGAATCTCCCTTAGTCAGGCCATGTCGACTAAAGACTTATCAATATGAATATGCCTCCCAGACGTTAGCTTCTTAAGTAAGGTTGTTAAGACGTCATAGCGTGATGCTTCCAGGTGCTTTAAATTAATTTCCCGCAATAGTTTTTAGCTCTTAGTGGACCTGGACCTGTAACAAGGAGTAATCTACTGGCTATTTCTCTCTCTCTCTCTCTTTTTGCGTTACTTTACTTTGCAGACTCAGACTCTAGACTAATACAACAGTTTCCAAATCACAACATATCGATAACATATCTATAGTAGATCAACGCGCTTTGCACCACTTTTGCCACACAATGCACTTAAGATTTACACTAACTTACCTACCTATAACACTTGGCCAGTACGAAGAAAAGACTAAGAAACTATGAATTCATAATATTGTAATTCTCGCTGGTTAGCCTTAATGTAGCTTTAAGTTTATGTTACCCCATCCACATGCCGATTCTCTATTTGCCCGTATTTTCTTTCTTTCTTTCTCTCTTTCCAAAACGTGAATGCTCTATGCGATGCAGGCATCATCTACCATGGAGCACAATCAAGCACATCCTCCGATCTGTCACCAATGTCCGAACAAAAATCATTACCACGACGCGGTCGCTCCAGGTATCATCATCAGCAATATCAGTTTTCCACCAATACAACACCGCGTCATCACAATAGCAACAAAAGCAACAACAACATCACAAACACGGCCACAAACACGAACACAGCCACATCAGTGAACAGCTCGAGCAAAATTCTGTCACCGCGCAACGGCAGCGGCAATCTGAAATCCATATCGAGCACATTCAAATCACAAGACTCCATACAATGCCACATACCCACGTTGGTCAAATCGCCATCGATAAGCACACAACAGCAACACCAGAAACAGTTCCACAAACAACAGTCGAATAGTAAGCCCGGCCCTAACCAGAACCAGAACCAGAACCAGAACCAGAACCAGAGCCAAAACCAAAACCAAAACCCCAATCATAGTCAGACCCAGTGCAGTAGTAGCAGTAGTTTGAAGCAACAGCAACCGCTGCTGATCCAGCCCAAGCTCCATCAGCTCGAGCAGACGGCCACGCATGCTGGTGGCCAGGAGCTGTTGGGCTTGGACGGAGGCGTTAGTACCCTAGCATCTGTTGTGCCCGTTACTTGCATGCCACCCTCTTCACAGTTTCGCCCCATTCCACACAAGTCCATAATGCCCGCGCATGACTCACACCAAAACCACCATCAGCAGCTACACCAAGGAGGGGGCGGGGGCGTGGGCGGGGGCGGCCTGCTGAATCCCTCGACGGCTCTGCTGTCCTCGAAGTTCTTCACGGCGCCGACGCTGCCGTTGCCCAAATAGGATACGGCCAATGGGGGGAGTGAGTACGGCGGCGGAGGCGGGGCTGATAGCAGCAGCTTCGGCTATAATGGCGGCGAGATATCGTGCACCTACATGGATCCCATAGATCACACATGAGACTTGGCCTACGGTGAGGTGTGTGGGCCCGAGGGCGCCCATTAGCCAGCAGCTCTCGGCAGCAAGCACACCACACCACCACCAACCACCATGTACACAACTTGGAACACTTGAACACATCTAGGTCTCTCTCTCTCTCTGTCTCTGTTATACTGAATGCTTGAGTGTGGTTGCTAGAGAACTCAAATAGTATCAAACAACTCTGGATACTCTTCTTCCCCTTACCAAACCATGCAGAGCTGGCATCCTGCGCACGCTGCACCCGCTCCAGCTGCAGGCCGAGTGCAGCGCCGGCGCCTTCCACCACGGCGAGCGCGACGGTGGCGATCACATTGAGCTGGCCGAGGTTGAGTGCGATGTAGACACGATTAAGAAGTTGAAGCTGGGCCAGCGGTCCTCGCTGTGGTCGCGCCCGAACTCCACCACGTCCCAGCTACAGCCGGATCATCAGCAGCAACAGCAGCAGCAGCACCAACAGCAACAACAACAACAGCAGCAGCAGCAGCAGCAACGTCAGCAACAGCAACCACCACACAAGCGAGCACATTCAAAGTCTCCGCAGCCGCAGCAACAGCAGCCCCTGCAACAGCAACGCCCACAGCAGCATTCACCCGCTCCAGGCCAGAAATTGCTTAGCGAGAAATCGGATTATTCGATATCTGTGTGAGACATTGGTAAGATCTGATCCAAGCCTGATCAGCAGCTAGGATGAGGTCGGCCAATGGACCACCAGATGGCAAACAATTGAATGAAAGTGAAACTAAATTTGGGCATTCGTGAGTCGTGAGACTCCTTGAGTGAATTTTAGGTATGCAGCAACAACAGCAGCAGCTGCGCCGTACCTACACTTATGTAATGCCAACAACTCCCGTTACATCCGCTCTACCCCAAGTCCACACCGCCCCGCATTGACCCAGTAACCAACCAACCAGCTTGACAACCCAACCCCAACCAACACAAAGACAAAACACAAGAACTTTCGGACAATCAATATCAAAATTATTTGCACAACCATCGAGAGGCGGGGCAACTCGCCCAGCGCACCCACACGCACACACTTCCCATTTGTTACTCTCTCCATTTCCCCGTATTCACATAGCGCTCATATAACCGTATAAACTTACAAATATTACAAAGTATTAATAACAACTACATAGGTAATAATAATTACGATTTGTGCATGTTGTACTACGGCATGCACCCACAACCCAGGTCAGTTATCGAACTTCCAAATGTTGTACATAGACTCGTATATCTGTACGCGTATATCCGTTATACACCCGATCCAATCTAATCGAATCGAATCGAAGCTAATCTAATCTAGTGTTAAGTACTAACGACTTGTGTAACTCGAACTACTAACGGCGTGTAACTCGAATACTAATGCATATACTAACGCGTATTACTCGTACTACCCATAATCGAACTGTTTTTCTATGAATGTATGTGTGTAGAGAGGTTGTACGAATTTTGTAGTTTGATCAATGCAAAAACTGTTTCTTCTTTTTTTTTTTTTTTTTTTTTTTTTTGATTGAGTTATATACCGTCTATACATACATATATAGGTAACGTTTAGGCACTTGAGATATTTTTGTAAGTTCTCTCGAATTGAATCCGCATTCTCCACATGTAAAACGAGGAATTTAAAACATGCAATTCAAACTAACAATTAATTCAAGACATATGCTGTGTACAAATCTATTTATATTTATGTCTAAAATACTAAAATCTAATAGTCTGTACATACACACACACACACACACACAGTTACACTGGAATCAAGAAATCTCTAGTTGTTAGCGCTACATTTTGTAAATAGGCACAAGTAAAAAGAAATTGACTGAAACAAAAGATCAGAAACAGAAATAACTTCATAATAACAAATATATATATATATATATAGAATGAAGAATGTTAACTAAATGTATTTGATATATTAAATGTATACACGAACGAGCACGAGCACGAGCACGAGCAGGAGCACGAGCAGGAGCACGAGCAGGAGCAGGAGTCGCCAGCTGAATCAGTATTCATATGCGATAGACGAGACGAGGATATTTGATATACATATGTTACATGACACGATGTCGCAGCGTCTACGCAATTAGTGTTCCCATACAATAATCGGTCGTTCGCCAGCGTGTAGATAGATGTTTTTAACACCAAAGTATAGAAATCAAAAGCAAATCGTAATCAAATTAGAAACAAACATTCAAGAGCTCTCGGACAAATAGCTGCAGAGAAGGAAGGCAAAGAGGAAAGGCCAAGTGAGGAGAGCAGAAAAGCAACTACAAATTACAATTAGAGAATATGAATAATCCACGTATTAATTAGATGTATTTTAAACTAGCCAACAAAACTTATATGACGTCTAGCAGGACAGAGATCAGAGAACTTTCAGAACCGTTTAGGAAACCATGTGCCAAAATTTGTTTGAAAGCAAAGTCAACAAGAAATCGTATTAAGAAAATATACAATAAATAAAGCCGAATGGATTTATTAGCTCCATGGAAATAAAAAAAAAAAAAAAAAAAAAAAAAAAAAAAAAAACAGAAAACAAAATAAATAAATACGTTATATAAGTATATAGCAACTTCAGAGATACATATATATATATACAACTATATATAGGTTGTCAGACGGACAGACGGACGGAAGAGAGCCAGAGGGCCGCGGACTCTTGGCAGCCAAAAGAGTCTGCGAATTCGAGTTTCATTTGCAAACAAAAAGTATTAAAAAAAAAAACTAGACACTTGATAGAATTCGTATGCAGCACTTTTTCAATTATTATTTATCAATATATATATATATATATATATATATATATGTATATTATAGTATATATGTATGTGTATAATCCAGCAATGGAGTTGCAGTATTTTTAATCCGTTTTTATATGCATTTATTTATATAATGTGTAATAAATGGTTTATTAAATTTAACATCGAATTTTACGAATTTAACACAAAGTTGCAAAATGAAAATCACATCACACAGCAAGTCTGCGAATCAAAGCAAATCAAATCAAATTGAATCGGATTGAATCAAATCGAATCAGATTGAATCAGATTGAATCAGATTGAATCAAAAGATCGCATTTTACTCGAACAACCAGAAAATACAATCAAAAGGCAAAAACAACCAAACGATATACTTATGTCTGTATGGGTAAAATAAGCAAACAACCATTTTTATGTTTAACAATATAATTAGCACAAAAAAGCAAACAAAAAATAAAACAAAACCAAAAAAAAAAAAAAAAAAAACTACAAAATAAAAACTATTAATGTAAAAACAAAAAGAAAACCATTAAAGAGTAAAAATTAAATAATTAAATATTTTTTTTTATTTTTTTTATAAAATGTTAATGTCGGGACTGATCGATTAGTGTACGAGATATCCGGAGCTAAGCGATAAGTCCGAAAAAACGGAAAAAGTAAGTAAGATTGCCCGTTAGCTAAAACGACTACATTAGAATCCGGTTATAATGACGCCCAAGGCATCGTCGTTATATCTGGAAGACGCTATAACCATATAGATTTACTCAAATAATTTTTTCGTACGGACGGACGCTTCAAGGGGAGTCGGAAAGTGAATTTCGTAAGTGACCCTAAGAAGGTTTCAGCATCGACAAACAGCGGGATAAGACGTCTCCACTACTAAATGAATCTAACACTGAAGATCTTTCGGACGGACAGATAAACATGGCTAAATTTACACCGCTCGTCGCACACGCCCAGAATACATATAAATTATTACCGTGGCCTTTTCGGTCCGTCACATACATTGTGACAAAACAATTACACCCGGACTTCCCATTTACAGAGTACACAGGGTATAACGTAAATAGATACTCACAGCGTGATTCATTCGCAGGGTGAATCATTCAACAACAAAATCTAGACTTGGAAATTTATATATTTGCTCTACAATAAATGTAGTCTTGCAATCTGCCAATCTTTTCTTTCCTAATATTAAATAAAATTTATTCGTCGACTGCATTTATGCTGCATAGTACGTAGATTAGATAAGACTTAGATAAGTATTTTGGTGAGCGACTATTTATTAAATAATATATATTATAATATATCTTATGCATTAATATATTCATTAAAATATATTATGCTATATATTATAATTTGGTGTCCCCAGATTCAATGGGTTTCAAATTATAACTGTTAATAACAATCAAGCAATGTTAAGTGCCTTCACTCATAGCACAGAGTAATTCATAATGCAAATGGATCCATAACTCAGATTACAGTTTCCAGGGTATCTGCTAGTTGCGAGACCCATTTTTAACCAATATGCTGTGAATTCTTTAGTCTCAACGTTTATTTCGTTAGCAAACGTAGCCAGAGCCAGCGGCTGCGTAACGTCGGCAATGTTTAACGAGTCAACACGGAATAATATGTGGGGCGAGGGGGCAGAGCGAGGAGCAGGCAAAAAGCAGTCGACGTGCTGCCTAAACGTTTGCCCGTTGGCTATTAAAGCTTTGGAGCTGCCAACAGAATGATTTGTGTATCAAGTGAGGCAACAGCAGCAGCCGCCGCAGCCTCAGCGCCTACGTAAGTTCAATTGTTATCAGTGTCGTGTGTAAAACAGCAGCGGGAGCAAGAGCCAGAGCAACCATGTCACCGGCTAACAGCGGGCCAGGCGAGCAGGTCAAGGCGAGGGCGGGGGCGAGGCAGCCGCCGAAGGCCTGTAGGGGGTGCAGTGGGCTGCAGCCTGGGTCTGGCCTCGTGGATGTGGAGGATATAGGCAACCTGGGCCTGGAGAGGCTCAGGCGCAAGGCGAACATTGCTCAGCAAATGTTGACGGATGTTATGGAGCAGCTAACAAAGCTGCAGCCGAGCCACAGGCATCCCACGGAAAGCAAACAAAAATTTAATTCTTTAAGACGATTTAATCGAAGGAGTATCAACTTTTGTTTCTTTAATTCAAGTAGTGTTCCATGCTAAATGAAAAAAAAAAAAAAAATGAAATATATAATTGATTGGGAATTACTTTATAACAGAACATTTGAAATAATTATATTCCGTTTGGCTTACTCAGAAACGGGCAATTACTTTATAACAGAACATTTGAAATAAATATATTCAATTTGATTTACTCAGAAACGGGATTTCACCAATAACAGTGCTGTTAATGCTTTTATTATTACATTTTAAATTGATAATGTTACCCAAGCTAAGAAACTGTTACGAGTATAACAAGGTGCTTGACTCGGCTATTTTCCATATTTAACTGTCTGGTAGCACTCTGACAATGTACAGTGTATTTGGTTTGAGTCTAAGATTCGTTATTATCTTAGACTCAAACCAAATACACATAAGAACTTAACGAAATCACTGTATTACAGTATACTAGAATTTCGTTGTTATAATCCACACTCTTATCGTGCATTATAACAATGTTCTAAGCTTAACGAAGCATGAGGTTATTTGACGAACGTACTTGAACTGCTCCACACTGGACGATTCTGCTCCTCATGCATTCAAATACAACGAATGGCGGGATAACAGAACTGCTGCAAAGCAAATTTTCATACCTTGTTCCAACTGTTATATTTCGCTGTACATTAGCTAATAGGTATAAAATTTACCTATTCCCAAGGATATTCCCTTCTCGAGTTTGTGACTTGATAAAATATCCAAATTAAATTATAATTGTCAACTCGGGCTTGGCCTTATCTCCTTTACCCTACCTTTTCGTGGGATATCATCAATCACCATGGCTCACACACATTCACATTTACACGCACGTTCGCTCACACACCCAGCCACACACACACGCACGCACACTCTGCTGCCGTGACAGACAAGTTTGTGTGCGTTAAAATAAGGAAAACGTCGATCAAGTTAAGACCAATAAAAATTGGTGAGTGAAGCAAAGCAGAATGCAAACTTTTAAAATAAATGGCCAGCTAATTAACATGCAAAGCAGCTACGAGCTGCGAATACAGGCGTGAGGTCTGTGGCTGACAGCGTTGCCATATTTTTCATTCGTCTCTTTTTTTACTCAAGCACACTTTAAACATAGCGCCAAAATAATTTCGTTAAATAACAATTTGATGGTTAGAGAACACATGAAATGAATGACGTAGCAGGGCAGAAGGATTTATCTGTGATATCTGTAAATCGAGGCGGGCAGCCTGAGAGCTGTGAAATTGTTTGTCTGTCATGTTGTGGGCATTTTTTATGTTGGCCCAAACAGTTTCGTGTCTGGTCAATTGTGAACCATTGAGTAAATTTATTTATATGTATGTATGTATGTATATATGTAGTACGCACGTGACCATAAATGCGTTTGGTTTGTCCTTGCTTTTGGCGTGGCCTTTGCTGCTGCCTTCCTTTTGGCATTTTGTGTATTTCAGTCATGTAGAGGTAAAAATTGTTTGCATATTGTTTTGTGCTTCCATTGTGATTTCCTCAGCTCTGTGTAGCGGCAACTATTGTGAAACGTGTGCCAGATTCAATAAGGCAAATGAAGCACTCGTAATGACGCTGAAGATGCCAAAGCGACGCGTCGACGGCGACGGCGACTGCGACGGCGACTGCGACGGCGACGGCGACAAGCGACAAACCAAACGAACATTCGCTTTCGCTTTGGCCATTGTCGACCAAATTAAAATAAAATATGTGCCAGTCATATCTATATACACATGTATGTGTCTGTGTGTGTGTGTGTGTGTCTCAGGTTCTGCACCTAGCAGCCAGCCTTCTCTGGTCACGCACGTGCGCCTGTGGCTATGCAACGCTTGTTGCCTGCCTCCTCTCTGGCTGGCTGTTCTCTGCTCTGCTTCTCTGCTTCTCTGCTACTGTCGCCCTCTGTGCCCTTTGCTGCATGTGTCTTGCATGTGTGCAGACTCAAATTAATGGCTCCCACTGCCATAAGTTATGCAGCTGCATATTAAACGTAAATGTGTGTGTGTGTGTGTGTGTGTGTGTGTATGTTTTGTGTTTGTGTGCGTGCGAGCGAGATACAATAAATGAGCCTATTTCCGGCGCTTGTCCCTTGCCAATGCCTGCAATCCTTACACCAATTATCAGAGCCCCACACATACAGGCACTCAGAAAGACACTGGGACCACACACACACACACACACACACACACCAACAAGCTATATCATACAGAGATTGAGAATATATTGCATTGCTAATGGTCAATTTTCACACGCCAGCTTAAGCAAATGTTGGTCAATTCAGTTCAGCAGCCGGAGGAGAAGAGAGGGCAGCTCCTCCTCTGACCCTTTCCCCTCTGGCCTTTGGCTATCTTGCCTCCTTTGTCCAATGTGCGCTGCATAAACAAACAAGCTGCTCGGATAGCACCAATAGAGACGGAGATGGAGATGGAGATGGAGACTCCTGCTTACATATTTACACATTTAGTGCGATCATAAATCAGCTATTCAATTCACTCGGGTCCATTCCGAGTGCTAATTTTGCCAGGCAGCACAGAGATGCCAATGACACGAGCTGAAAGCAAAAGCTAAAGCTGCAGCTCAATCAGTCTCACATATCTCACAATTTCTCACTCGATCCATGGCGAATTCGCGCAGCAGTCACAACAGCTATTAGTCCTCCAATGGGCTAACGAGGCTTTAATACGAGCCGGCCGGGCTTCTGGCAGACAGTTGGCGGGATTTAAATTTTGATTGCGTGCAGCAGAAAATGGAAAATGGGGCGCCTGTGACAAGTGTGAAGGACAACGTCTCGTTGACGGCGCGCTGAGGCGTTGCCAAACAGCGCGTAAAGTTGAAGAGCACACAGGAAAACATTCACGCACACAGACAGGCGAGAGACACACACTCACACGCACACATACAGACATACTCTTGCAGCTATGCCCCATGTCTGCTTTGCCGCTACAACTCAACGCAATTCCTATGTCTGCAATCTATCTCAACCACCCACCCGTACTTACTCTCTCTCTCTCCCGCTATCTCACTCTATCTCTCTCTCTCTCTTTCTATAACTGCTGTCGTTTGCTCTTGATGGCATTTGGTGATGATGCGTTTAAGTGTGTTGATTGCACAAAAATTGAATCTTAAGAACATATTTGCATTTGATTATTTGTTGCTTGTAATTTATATGCAAAATTAGAGCAGGAATCTACGCCCAGCTTCCTGCCAGCAAATAATATTTATAAATGAACGACCTTTGCGTGTGCGTGACATATTTTATATTTTACTTGGCTACATGTCGAGGCAAACAAAAGCCAAGAACTACTTCACTTTCTGCTAAAAATGCTAAATGAATATTGCAAATCGTTTTCCTTCCATCAACTTTATTACGGCATACTAATTGAAAATTATTTTTAATATGTCTGAAAGCTTTCGCGGTGCAAGTCGCAGCCGCAGCGCCGAGCAGGAGGCGTACCCTCACATGTCACAAGTATTCTCTACTCATATTTTTGCACGGATTTGTTTGCTCAATTCGGAATCAATGCTGCTCGGGATCCGTTTGCTCTGTGCCGCTGCCGAGATGTTGGGGAATATGTAAATACTTTAATTTTACTTGCGTTCCCCGGTCTTCGATACTCGCCCCCACCTTGAACATCCATTTCCCATTGCCGCTTCCCTTTTCCCATTTTCGTGTAATTCGATAGACTTGCTGCCGTCTCCTTCGTGTTTGCGGTCGCCAAAAAGCGCGTGGCCTGCGCTCCCGCTGGATGTGTTGAAAACAAGCCAAGTGATGCGAATGTGAATGCGGATGCGGATGCGGATGCGGATGTGGCAGCAAATGCGAATGCGAAGGCGAACGCGAATGCGGATGGGAATGAGAAAAGCACGTAAAGCAAAGTTGCACTTGCGTAAAAGTTTTGGTTTCTCCACGTTTTGTTGCAAATAAATTAAGTGCAGGCGACGTTGAGGCTTATTGGCACAGCTTTCGCTTATTTTGTAAACAAGCGCTTGGCGGCAGGAGGCGAGGCAGGGCACGGAGAGTTGCACGGGGCTCACACAGCACAGCACAGCACACCACAGCACAGCACAGTTCAGCGTAGAGCACACAGAACAACACGAACCTTCGACGCGACCTGTTTCCGCTGTCAGTTAATTCAAATAGCGCTGAGAACCCACGAAGCTGTTGCAGTTGCAGTTACAGTTGCAGTTGTCAATGCACCGGCAGACATTATCGCCGCCCCCCGGCCACACCCCTGGACACTTAGACTGCTCCCCTGTTGTACTGACTTGCTCGACGGATGTCAATCGATTTTATTTCTTCTTCTTCTTTGTTTAATTTTCATTCGCGTGTCAAAAACCAGAGGAATAAATACATTGCCAAAAAACATATTCCTTGGCATTCAACATTTAGGATTTCGACGTTGACTGCGTTCCACAACATCAAATGAATTGAGGACTCATAGCAGGTACTCCGCACATTGATTGAATAGACTTATACAAAAATATATATACATATATATTTATTTTATACATTAAATAAAAATGCCTCTTTCTAGGGATCAACTTATCGACCATCCAATGCAACGCATTTAGTTAAATTTAATTATACCACATGTTCAGTATTCAGTTTACGTTACATAGAACTGGCGCTTATGCCTGCGGGAAGACCAAAGTCCTGCACTTTGAAGAAGGTGCGGAGGCAGCTACGAGTGTGCATCATACCGAAAGGCAACAAATCTGGAGTGAACAGGAGCGTGGCGCAGTCACCATGTTCTCTGTAATCAACATCAGTTACGTCATGGAATGCAATGCACTGAGCAGCCACTGGGGGATTCCCGCACAGCGCTCCATACACATAAATCCCAGCAACACCAATGAAGAACTACTCCTCTCTCCGTGCGAGGATGCGGCAATCGCATAAAAAATGGATGCAGCGCCATAACCGAGGCTCATAGCGGATGCGAAGCATACGCATCTTTCCGTGGACAGATGGCCGTGCTTAAGCCGTAAGCTCTCATCCAAAGTCCATGTGGAATGCATTTATTATAAGCCCCGCTTATATGGACACTAAACTTTTGCTCTGGAACTTACAGAACTTGGATTTTATATAATTATAATCAGCGAAAATTCATAGTCAACTTGTCGAAGTATGATTTACTGTTTCTCTGTAAACTCAAACATTTTAAGTACTGCC